ATGGCCGCTGGTTTGGCCGCCATCTTGAATTTTGAAAATCCGGCTCCGTACCGATGTGGCCAACTCGATAGCGCATCCGATGCACTTTTTACCATTTTCCTAGTGGCAATACTGACTGCGCTAACGTCGACAAAGTAAAAAATGGGCGAAATTTTTCAAATCGCCGCTCCTACCAGGGTTGCCAGGTGACGACGATCAAAATGGCCAAATGTCATTTCTGAGAGTGCCCTCCGTCGAGGAAAAGCATTTTTAAAATTCCCAAACGCCTCCTTCTACTTTTCACCTTTTTGGGGTAAATCTCCGAAATTACCCTAAAATCGGGGAAAATTTTCACCTCATAAGAAAGAGCCGGCGGAGACTAATGACCGGTCCATACAAGGCAAAGAGCTCCGATGTTGCCATGTGAGCTAAAAGTGCGTTTGAATTTTTCGGAAAAGTGAAAAAATCACAAAATGGCCGCTGCCGGCGCCGCCATATTGATTTTCCCGAGTTTCATAATTTTCCCATAGTCACGACTATTTCGGGCAAGGGACCTCATTCATAGATTTTCTCCGCTGGCCACCCAGGTTCCCAAACAATTCGGGTTATGAGGGCATGTCGAAAAATACGTTTTCTACCGTGGAGCTCAGGGTTGTCAGCTCGCGGTAACGAAAACTACCGAAAATCATAGGGCTCCCCCGGCGCCACAACGCATCGAGTCTGTTTTCCGCGAAAAGTGCGTATTTCCAAATTTCACTTTTCTCCCAAAATCTCCTAAACTACCACGAAAATGGTAGAAATCGGTAGTAAAGTAGAGAGATCCTACCGAGCCCCACAACCGGCCCATAGAAGGCAAATCTGTCCAATGCCGCCATCTTGGAGAAAATCTCACTGGAAAATGGCGATTTTTCATTGCCGAAACAAAATGGCCGCCCCCGCCGCCGCCATATTGACACGCAAGCGAAAACTCCCCGTACGTGAAAATCGACTATGCTTCCGAGCTGAAGGAGCAAAAATCCCCCCTCCGAACCCACCACAAAACAATTGACGATCGCCCGAACAGAGGTCGAAAAATGCCAATTTTCCAGGTGAAATATCTCGGCCGCCATTTTGTTTTTTTAATCAAACCTTTTTTCAGTGTCATTTTTTAAGCCAAATCTATGACCATTTTGAATATCGTAACCGTAGAGTAAATAATGTAGAAACTAAAAAAATTATCTCGCCGCCATTTTGTTTTTTGGCTGTACCGATATGCCATTTCAACTCATTTTAAAAAAATATTATCACTCTCCATACATGAAAACGTCATTTACCACCTCCTTGTACCCGAAAAAAGCATGGAGTGAGTCAGTCAGTCAGTCAGTGAGTGGTAATTGAGCTTTATATATTATACTAGCTTTCGCTTGGTTGCCCCGGGCTGCGAGCAGCCCGGGGAGGTCACGAGTAGCTGGTGGTATCGGGGCGGTGGGGTTTCAAGTCCGCCTATTGTTATGTCGGGTTTACAGTTTGAAATTGCGTAGAAAAGGTCAGTAAGTTCTATCTTCAAATAAAAGGTGTTAAAGGACACAAAGCACCATACATCAAAGAAAAAGTGTTGCCTGTTGACACTTAATAGAAAAAGAAATATTCAGTCGAAAAACGCAAGCAAAACTTAAAATTAATTTTGTATATATACTTAAAATAAGTTTTGTCTTTTATTCTCTTATTCTTATTTATTAGTAAATTACTGTATAATATTAAAAAACAATCGAACATATATTTCCATCACTGTTACTATCATTAATTAATCAATTAAATGTCAAGAAATAGTATTTATTGTATTTGCATTATTACATTACATTATTTATGTAAGATTTATTTATTATACGAAAAGGGAACCGATGTCGTGGCCAGATATTAGAATAGATAAATTCACGACGCGATGGGGTTTTAAGTTCGCCTTCGTTTCAGAATAGAAGCTTTCGCCCGGCAGCCCGGGGAGGTCACGAGTAGCTAGTGGAATCGGGGCGGTGGGGTTTTAAGTCCGCCTCCGTTGCAGAATTTGAGTCTTTCGATTTTTTTGTTATGTTTGTTTTATAGTCTGAAATCGCCTACAAAAAGTTAGTAAGTTCTGTCTTAAAATGAAAGGTGTTTAAGCACCATACATCAAAGAAAAAGGGTTGCCAGTTTACGCTTAACAGAAAAATAAATATTTAGTCAAAAAACGCAAGCAAACCTCCAAATAAATTATAGTCTCTCACTATAAAGATCCCGAATTGTCAAGTCCATCGAAATCAAAATTGAAATTAAAATGGTCACGATCATCTTTTAAACATTATAAACCAAATGTTACCATCAACAAAAGCGATTCGTTTCTGGCACTTCGCCGGCCGCTGCCGCGGCACGCTCGCTACGCTCGCTCGGCTCGTGCGTTGTTTTTCATACACTAACCTAACCTAACCCATATGTCATAATAAACCTATACAGTTTTTTTTTGCTTCACTTATTGATAAATTCTTGAGCATAAACGAGTCGCTTGTGGAATCGGAGCGGTTAGATTTGAGGTCCGCCTCTTGTTGTGCTTACAGTTTGAAATTTCCCAGAAAAAGTTAGTGAGTTCTATCTTCAAATGAATTATGTTTAAGTACACACAGCACCATACGTCAAAGAAAAAGGGTTGCCGGCTTACACTAAATAGAAAAAGAAATATTCAGTTGAAAAACGCAAGGAAAACTTAACTAAACTAAACTGAATAGATCGGCTTGTAGTCATTTATTCTCTTATTCTTATTCAAAAGTAAGTAAATATTTAGTTAATACAGATATTGGAGTTTTAAGAACGCCTCTTGTTATGTTGGGTTTACAGTATAAAATTGCCTAGAAAAAGTTAGTAAGTTCTATCTTAAAATAAAAGATCTTTAAGTACGCAAAACATCATACATAAAAAAAAGGTTGCCAGTTTACACGCAATATAAAAAGAGATATTCAGTTGAAAAACGTAAGAAAAACTTAAAATAAATGTTGTATAAATCACCTTGTATTATTTTATTCTTATTCAACAGAAAATTTCCTAAAAATCACAGTAACAAAAAACAACAGTTTTTTATCATCCTGCAACACTTCAACTGAATACATTTTTTTTCTGTAAGTAATCTGAAAAATGTTACCAATAACGCCAAAATCATTTTCTAGATAAAATGGTCGCTGTCTTAGCCGCCATCTTGAATTTTAAAATTTCAGCCTCAGTCTTAAATAGCACACTTATAAGCACATTTCGTCACAGTTCCTTAACCGATTGACCAGGTCTCCATTTATTATGGCTCGCTTCACTCACTTTTTCTTTTTGTTTTTTTCGCAGTTCTAATCTAACCGATGGACCAGGTCTCTATTGATGGTGTCCTTTATGGCTCGCTTCGCTCGCATTTTACTTTAGTCACAGTTCTAACCCTACCAATTAACCAAATCTCTCTTAACAGTAACTTATTATGGCTCGCTTCGCTCGCTTTTTGTTTTAGACACAGTGCTAACATAACCGTTTTGTTTTATTCACAGTTCTAATCTAAATGATTGATCAGTTTTCTATTGATGGTGTTCTTTATGGCTCACTTCGCTCGCATTTTATTTTAGTCACAGTTGTAACCTTACCAATTAATTAAATCTCTCGAAATGGTCACCCTTTATGACTCGCTTCACTCGCTTTTTGTTTTAGTCACAGTTCTAATCTTACCGAATGACAATATCTCGCTCGCTTTATTTTGCTGGCTAAAATAGTGGAATTTTTTTCTCACCACGTAAAGATTGAGTAAAGATACACAAACGGTCTATATATGCAAAGCTTCCGAGTTGCGAGCTCAGTCAGAATCATTCTGAAATTAATGTGGTGACTACTATCAGTGTTGCTAGTCGATCACTCAAATTATCCATCAATTATGTTATATATGCAACAGTAAAAATTTTGTTAAACAGTGAAATCACTTTAAAAAGATATTTAAATATTTTTCATAAAGACATACATGAAAGTTTCCTAAAAACCCGGTATCAAAAAATGTTTAGATTTTTTTTTCATTTGGCAACACTTCAGCTGAATACATATTTTTTGTTAAAAGTATTCGGAAAAATGTTATCAAAAACGCTAAAATCAGCTCTATAAAGTGAAAGTCGTGAAAAATGAACAATTTTCTAGATAAAACGACCGCTGTTTAGGCCGCCATCTTGAATTTTGAAATTTCAACCTCATACTTATGTAGCCCACCTATTGGCGCATCCAACGCAGTTTTTGTTATTTTCCTAGCCGCGATAGTGACTGAGCTAGAGTCAAAAACGTGAATAGTGGGCATTAAATCTTCATACCACCGTAGCTGCCAGGGTTGCCATGTGTAGACAATGAAAATAGTCAAATGTGATTTCAGGACGCGCCCTCCATCGACGGATACTAATTTTCAAGTTCTAAAAGTGTTCCTTTGACAGTTACAGTTTTTGGGGTAAATCTCAAAAACTACCCTAAAATAGGGTAATTTTTTTCCACCATGCGAAAGAGTCTATAAAGATGCACAATCGCTCCATACATGCCAAATACCTTCGGGGTTGCCAAGTCGGTCAAAATCGAGGTTGAATTTCAAACGTTGTTTGCTCTCAGTGTTGCTAGTCGATCGTTCTATTTTTTCAATCGGGTATCTTGAAAAGTTAAAATTAAAATATTTGCATCAAAAAAGTTAAAAAATTCGACAAAAATTGTTTCTTCGAAAATCTCATAAAGTATCAAAATTTTTCGAGATTTTTTTTCACCAGGCAACATTTTAGTTACTTGCCTAAAAAATGTTTCCCCGAAAGTACTCTGACAAATGTCGGCAAGTGCGTCAAAATCGGCTCGATGTGGTGACGATACCCAATTTTCCGGATAAAACGGCCGCTGGTTTGGCCGCCATCTTGAATTTTGAAAATCCGGCTCCGTACCGGTGTGGTCAACTCGATAGCGCATTTGATGCAGTTTTTACCATTTTCCTAGTGGCAATACTGACCGCGCTAGAGTTGACAAAGTAAAAAATGGGCAAAATTTTTCAAATCGCCGCAACCGCCGGGGTTGCCAGGTGACGACGATGAAAATGGCCAAATGTCATTTCGGGGAGTGCCCTCCGTCGAGGAAAAGCATTTTTAAAAATACCAAACGGCTTCTTCTACTTTTCACCTTTTTGGGGTAAATCTCCGAAATTACCCTAAAATCGGGGAAAATTTTCACCTCATTCGAAAGAACCGCCAGAGTCTCACGACCGGTCCATACCAGACGAAGAGCTCCGATGTTGCCATGTAGGCTAAAAGTGCGTTTGAATTTTTCGAAAAAGTGAAAAAATCACAAAATGGCCGCTGCCGGCGTCGCCATATTGATTTTCCCGAGTTTCACAATTTTCCCATAGTCACGACTATATTTGGCGCGACACCTCATTCACAGATTTTCTCCACTGGCCACCCAGGTTCCCAAACAATTCGGGTTATGAGGGCATGTCGAAAAACACGTTTTCTACCGTGGAGCCCAGGGTTGTCAGCTGGCGGAAACGAAAACTACCAAAAGTCATAGGGCTCCCGCGGCACCACACCGCATCGAGTCTGTTTTTCGCGTAAAGTGCATATTTCGAAATTTCACTTTTCTCCCAAAATCTCCTAAACTACCACGAAAATGGTAGAAATTAGTACTAATATGGAAAGAACCCACCGAGCCCCACGACCGTCCCATAGAACGCAAACCCGTCCACCGCTGCCATCTTGGAGAAAATCTCAATGGAAAATGGCGATTTTTCAATGCCGAAACAAAATGGCCGCCCCCGCCGCCGCCATGTTGAAGCGCAAATGAAAACTCCCCCTACGTAAAAATCGACTATACTTCCGAGCTGAAGGAGCAAAAATCCCCCCTCCGCACTCACAGAAAAACAATTGACGATTGCCCGAACAGAGGTCGAAAAATGTCAATTTTCGAGGTAAAATATCTCGGCCGCCATTTTGTTTTTTTAATCAAATCCTTTTTCATTGCCATTTTTTTAGCCCACTCTACGACCATTTTGAATATCGTAATCATAGAGTGTATAATGTAGAAATTAAAAAAATTATCTCGCCGCCATTTTGTTTTTTGGCTGTACCGATATGCCATTTCAACTCATTTTAAAAAAATATTATCAGTCTCCATACATGAAAATGTCATTTTCCCCCTCCTTCTACCCGAAAAAAGCATGGAGTGAGTCAGTGAGTCAGTGAGTGGTAATTAAGCTTTATATATTATAGATAGATATAGATAGATATATATATATACGGAACTTATTTCGTATGAGTAATACATACATAATGTTTATATGTTTGGGCGTTAGTATTAGCTAAAAAAATAACCACCTATAATAGCAATGAAGATTACAATAATAGCACCAACAAGTAACTTGATTTTATACAAAATTCAATCGTATCGTCGGAGGATATTTGTACAAATGTTTATATATCTTATCATTTGACAATTGAAAAAGTTTTTACGCATAACTACTAATTTATGCTACTAAAAATAGTAATGAACTGCTGAGCAAACCTTTTCAATTCGTCAAAATCAGCTGCGTAGCGTTAGTATAGGTGTGTACATTAGTTTTCAGTATAGGATCATGTCGACCATTAACACTCAGTCGCGAATAAGCAGTTTCTTATTATCTTTTCGTCTTATCTTAAAGAAAAAAGTCCTTAAAAAACTGATTAAAAAAAAAAATCTTTTTGGACAGTCCTGTATCTGTATCAATTACAGGTAATAAGGAATTTTTGAGCTTGATATAAATTCACCCACTACATTAAATATCGGTGTTTCCGGTGAGTTGACATTGACAGTTAATTAGTTGGCTGACCTTAGTTCAGCCGTATTGTAGAACGTTGTGTTCAGCCGATCGAAAGTCAAAGGGCTAGCCGCCCAATTAGTCGGTTGATTATACTACTTGGCTGTGACATTCACGGGAGGCCCGCCGCTTGTTGCCCACCGCTGCTCTAATCAAAGGCCTTCATTACAAATTACTCACATTATCAATTTTAATAACAGGCAAGTTTAGAATGTATGCAATGGCGTAATTTTTTTGTCACAGTTATAACTAACCAAAACATTGTATGCTGTGTTCTATATGATAAAATAAACAATAAAGTGTATCTCGAAAAAGAAACTTTTGACAGACATTATTCCTTTTCTTCTGTTTCCTCTTACAAGGCATCGAGGAAATTCTTTTTTGTCGAACTCAAACATTTTGTTATCTGATTTGCTTCAATCGAATAGAAACTAAATTATGACCTTCGCATTCGACAGCGAATTGACTTTCAGTTTTTTTACACGACTATTATTTTTTCGCAGGTTTTTTAAATAGGTACTTAAAAGTTAGATAGAACCAATATTTTCTAGGAAATTTATGATTTGCTGAGGTCTCCTGCTGTTGTATCTGTGACTTTCAATTAATAAAGCCATAAATATTTAAAGAGCGCTTTATGGCAAGATCAGCCATTATATGAGAGAGAGAGAACCATCTTTACATTCTACATAGAACTTATAGGTACACAAATGCATCTTCTTATACAGCCATGTACTACACTTGCTGCTCCATACTGAGATACTTGAAAATATAATGAAGGTTTAATTTATGATGAGTATGACAAACGTTCAAGGTACCAGCTTAAACGAATTTTATATCACAAAATGGACTGCAAATACCTAATGGTACTACTAATCTTACTTGTAATATAAATATAGCCAGTGCTTCAGTTCTATCGATATAAGGTTTCATTGACCTTGTCCGATACCACTTCTACTGTTACCTAGGGTTGCATTTGCCAATCATAGTATCTATTTGATTGTTCGTTGTTTGTAACGAAAACGCTTCGATGCTAGTGGACCGATTTTTTAAATTCTTTTACCTACGAAAAAATACATCATATGCACGCTACGCCATTTGGCATAGGGCGTCAAGTTTTAGTGTTTTGTTTCGAACGAGTGCTCAAAGAGCCATCGCTGTATCGTCAGTATATTTTGTGCCATTGGACAGCCCTAATATCCGGCCGCCCTAGGCCCAGGCCTACTATGATCTACAGTAAATCCGCCATTAGTGAGGATATGAATCGGCTGATAATCAGTGGGGTCATTAAAATGGCGTCTAACTCAAGATCACGATTTAATTTAATATAATTACCATATTCAATTACGTAATAAACTTCTTTCCCTGAATTACGGGAAAATTTGCAATAAATATGAATGGGTATACAAAGTAGTTGTAATGTCATTAACGCCATACGTAAGTTAAATTTTACGTAGGCAAATGATAAAATTGACTCATGACCTAATTTACATTGGTATTTGTTATTTAAATTCCTACTGCTGAATAAACAACATACTTAAATGGATTATTATCATAAAACAATTGCCGTATCGCTTATCACAAAGTCATAGGAAAAGCGATAGATACTTTGTTATATTATTATTGCTTGCTATCAATCAATATATTGTTTCTTGTATTATAAAGTTAGTAACTCTTTATTATTAACTAGCTTTCACCCAGCGGCTTCGCCCGCGTGTTCCCTAGGGAACTGTTTATATGGATATCAATTCATATCATGACTCAGATACAATTAGGTACAATGACAAATTTAACAGTAAACAACGGTTGCTATGGTAACGTTTTAATTCCCTATACAAACTTTCTCTCCCATTTTCATGCCTTTATTACTGTTTTTCAGGATTAAGATATGGTGTAGCTTCCCGAAGATGAAAGAATTTTTAAAATCGTGCAGTTGTTTCGGAACCTATTCGCAGCAAACAAACAATCAAACCTTTTCTCTTTATAATATTATTAGTGGATAAAATAATTCAAATACCCTAACTCCCACTCATAATAAATCCTCATTTTATAGTATAATCACTGTAATTAATCTGTATATAATAATTTTGTTTAGGAGATGGTGTGTGTCATGTGTTTGGAGCACGGCCACTGTCCTCATCCACCGGCTGGTTGCAGGTTCATTGCCTGCTTTTACCATTAGAGCAGCAAGAATAACAGGTAAAATAAAATTAATATCCACACATTAACTTTATACATGCATAAAGAAGTAATATATCTTATCCTCTGGCAAGGCTAGAGAGTTAGTGAGCGAACGCATAAGGATCTCGCTACAATTCTAGAACTTTCTATCGATTTTATGTGGCAAATTCATAGAATGCTAAGATTTTTTTTACTAAATGTGTAATAATAAATGTTGGGAATTAAGATTCTCCTCCGACCGGCCCCCTTCCACGCCACGTCACGCCACGGAATTGTTTCATTAATCAATTCACATTCCGTGTCAAACAAAGTTATTGATAATAATTAATTGTATTTTTATTTTAAAGGTTGCACGGTTGTGAAGTCGTCAGGAAGGGCTCGAGCGCCGGGTAGGGACCACCTGCACCCGGAGCCGCTGGTGGAATGCCAGGTGTTACACACACCTGCAGTGCACAACTGTGATGTTATTTTCGTCCATGGATTATATGGTAAGAACAAAGATTAATTGTATTTATAAAGATAAGATAGGTATTACCTACTTATCAATACACAATAATAAGCAGAAACCGCTCTAGTTTTTATGTATATTTCACGTTCACCTACCGATACGTGCCCAAAATGACGTCGCAAAAAAAAAAAAATATTTCCAGTATTACCGATGTTATAGCAATATTTTACTTCGCACACAAAATACATAGAGCATTTCTTTCGCAGTGAAAGTAATTTTACATAATTACCGTGCAACCGATAACGACCGCTTAAGTTCTTATATTACCCCTACGTCCTTTTTGTTACAGGTTCTCTTGGCAACACATGGCGACAAGGCGACTGGAGACCAAAATACAAATCTGAACCAAACAAAATACCTCTACTAAGACCTACAGACTGCAAATGTGATATCGGACTTAACTCTACCCAGTATAAAGTAAATGATTATGAGGATAACATAAATGAACTCACATACAAAGATATGGAAGAAAAACTTTATAAAGGCATCAAAAAGATTCTACCGAACGAAGAAGCTTTTATAGCGGAGAAATTTTACAATAACACGTTTTTGGATCAAGTCGAAATAGTGGACAATTACGATAGTCAAGTTGAATTCGTAAAAGATTTATTTCAAAAAGAGAACACGATTGGTGATAATAAAAACGACTTGAATGTCGAACGAAGAACAAATGAAGTCGCCTGCAAAATTAATGAAGTCGACTGCAAATGTAAATCTGAGAAAGAATGTAACGTAAATGGAGTATTTTCAAAAGTGAACCGAACTGAATGTGATAATAAAGTGGTTGAAGTTAGGGAATGTAGAGTGGGTTGCGGATGTGTTTGTGATAGATGTTACTCGTCTTGTTGGCCCCGCGATTGGATAAAAGAAGATTATCCTGATGCTAGAGTAATTTCCATAAACTATACTAGTGATCCTTATCTCTGGCGGCCGCTATGGATAAAAGAATCTAAAAGGTTAGTAGTTTCTCATGAATATATTTATTGGTGATTGTAACGTTCTTAACCCAATTTATTTTAAGTGAGACGGACTAGAAAGTTTTCAAATGATTTGTTTAACTTATTTTGCAATGACGAACATTGCCTATAAAAAAGCAATACATAAATCAGTCAGTCAAACAAGACGAACAGCTTAGAAATTCTATTTAAGTAATAATGCATCCAACTCAGCCAGAGCTGAGTTTATGGCCATGCCATAACAAGATTTTAAAACGTGATGGAAATTAAAGAGAGACGCCACTGAACACGCTTTGATATCTTTAATTGCTTATTGAATTGTAAGTAAAATAGAATTCATCAGTTGCTTGTCATGTAACGCACTTGTTTAATCGACTGATGGTATGTGTTTTACGTTTTGCCTTTGTAGGCTCTGTCAATGAGTTGTTGAGTGTAAATTGCTGTGTCATACTCTCTTCAAGTTAAGTCATTTTCTTAACCATAATAAAACCAAATATCTAAATTGGTTTTGACTGTTCTTATATCAGATTTTAAAGTTCGGTGTACATATTTTCCTCATGTAAATATTTGTTGCTGTTTGGGTGATTGTCTGAACATTGATGATGATGAGCTCCCTAGTAGCGAAAAGTAACAATTGATTGAAAAGTTCGTCAATTCTGCTGGGTCTCGGGTACCTCTATGGTTAGAGCAGTCGACCGGATTGCAAGACGTTGTATCTGTTCGGTTCGGTATCTGCGGCTGGTGGATCTATTTTAGGCATTTTTCATTGAAAAATGAAACTGATTTTTTTTTAGGTTGCGTCTGCATGAGAGAGCAGAGCAAATGACGAAACAGCTTTTAGATTTAAGAGTCGGCGACAAACCAGTAATATGGGTTGGACATTCCAAAGGAGGTTTATTTATTAAGCAAATATATTGTGAAGGTATGTCTATGTGTGCTCGGCTGTTTATTGTTTTATTGCTCCAAATAATTCATCAGTTTGTTTCTTAGAAATATACAATCTATTGCGGTTTAGATAGTTGAACCAAATATAATAACTTTACGGTTTTGTAATTCCATGGGGCGAAAAAAATATAGTCATTCTTATTGAATATTTTAATTCATAGAAAAATACACAAAGTAATCTTAATTGTTTACAATTGATTTCAGCTTATGAAGCGTACAAAAAAATACATAATCAACGTTTAGTTAAAGAAGAAATTAAAACTAGTAGTTTTAAACAAACATCAAGTGATATAATTAATAATAACAGTGAAATCAATATACCAACAGACAGGGTGTTAGAACAAAGTAATTTATTAAATGAGACTAATTTTGATGATAATGAAAAGATAGAATTAAAAGATGTTTTGAGTATTGAAAATGAAAGATATAGCGGTGGAATTAATAAAACAGAGTTTAGTTGTAAACAGCTGTCTTCAGACCGTCAAGGTAAGATTTTGTTCTAAATAATGTTTAAAAGAGAAAATACTAATGTTATAAATTTGTATGATTGTGGATCCAAAAGCTAAGTAGGATATACAGATTGTCACATTAAATTCAGTATGGCAAAGTGAGACAATAAGATATACCTACGGAGGTCTTAGGAATAATGACATCTATTTTAATGTAAAGAAGAACTGCATTTTTATTTAAAAAAAATAATAATTCATTTCATGGATTTCATAGTTCGGATTCGAATATATTTTTTTAAAAGCTTACATTATCTAAAGCGCTGTATTAGTCTCGGTATCAATATGCATTATATGTATGTGTAGTATAAAATTATTGATAATAAGCCTATTTCAAATTAAGTTAACATGCATAAATGCTCATTTTCTTTTCACTAAAGTTGATGACGCGGTTCCTAAGACCATCGTATGTCTAGGCTTTATTATCTTTTATGTTTAGGCTTTCCCATGGTGACAGTTCAAAATATTACAACCTGTATAATGGTGCATTACAGAAGACTATATGTCACAACAGTGTGGTCTATGGAAGAACAGCGTTGGATTCATGTTCTATTCCGTGCCCCACCGTGGATCACCGCTCGCTGATATCAAGACCCCCATCACAGCTAGGAGCATCGAACTATTGGAGATCAGCAAAGGTATGTTTATCGACGTATCTATTACCAGTAGAGTATGTTACAGAGATATTCACAATCGTCTGTGTTGCTTTAACATAACGATTGTTATCTACAAAAGAATCCTTGTGAGTATAAATGAATAGGGATGTGTCCTATGAGTGGAAATACAGGTTTCTGTTATATGTTCGGAAAATAAGAATCATTTGAATTTATAAATATTGATTAAAATAATTTTTATGGTACTAATATGGAAAATATAAAATACTTATGACACTCAATTAGTTACATTAAACATAACAAATTTTATTATAACCGCTACAAACATAAACGCACAAATAATAAAGATTGCCCAGATGACTAGACATTTTTCGCTACCGTAGCACTGTGTGACGTCAGTTAGTGGCTGGAATTTGTAGGGAGTGTTTTCGGCCGACAGCAGCAGTTCGACAAACACAGCACCGTTTTTCATTTTATATTTCAATAAAAAAAAAATCTCCGAAACTATTAATCGCAGACTCGCTGTTACTTATACATTTATTTATAAAATAAAAAAGCAGTCAACGAGCATGTTGGGGATTTGTAATTTGTAATCAATAGTTGTGATAGAATTGGATCTTATTTAAGCGACTCCTATAATTATTCTTAAGTGATATAACATAAAAAATATTACTTCGTTTTTGCTTGAAACGTAACAAATATACTAAAGCGAAAGTAACAAATTTTATTCAAAATTTTATAATGTTAGCAGATTAGGTGTTTAAAATACGTGATTCTGAAAAATGGTATTGTTTTTTGTACTTAAATCTGTATAAATCTTCACGGACTCCCAGAGATCCTCGGACCACAGTTTGGGGTATGTTAGTATGTATTATAAAGCTGTTAAACGTGATGAATTTGAAATAAGAACAATATTATCTGTCTAAAACTAAAGAAAATTAGTTTTTGTTACCGACTTCAATTATATGAAGTCACAAACAAATAGTGCTTTTGAAACCCATGGACAATAGATTTAAGTTCTATTACGATCAAACTAGAAGTTGATAATTTTTTTAATGACTCACATAACTCCATCCATAGGATGACACGTCTATTGATGTCTACTTAATCATATTTTTTTTATTCGTTCATCGTTATAAAGTACCTACCTACAAATGTAGTAAAATTAAAAAGAAAATATTCCTAACAAATATCCCCATAATATTCCTAACATGCCGTATAGCGAAAATCACGGCTAGAGATAGAGTTAAGACGGTCGCACTACCGACTACCGACCTCCTAAATTTGTAGCCACGATTCTAGCTTTAGGATACGACATCTTAAAGATCAAATACGTTGCTCAGATACCAAAATGAGTGGCTAAAGCTCCCGTATTATGGAGTATCTGAAACAACGGAAGTACACACCCAGACCCGAGACAATATAGAAAAGTCCATTTTCTACATTGACCCGACCGGATATCGACCTTAGAGGTGGCGACACCTTGAAATCGGCGTGCGAACCACTCGACTACGAAGATCGTTTTGGTCACCATCAGCCAGTTGCACAAACGTCCATTAAAATTTTTATTAGTTTAAAGCGACATTACCCATACAAATTTGACATTCATTAGAGCTTTAAGGCGTCCTTAAACCTTAATGGACGTTTGTGCAACTGACCGTTTAAACACTTTATTCAATATGCAATAATGCAATAACAGTTACGTAGTAACAGTTACGTCGCTGAATTAATAACAAAGAAAGAAAGTGTGCTAGATAATCGGATGTAACACGTAGATGTATATGGTCGTTGCATTTGACGTCATTGTTGGCTCAGTTATAAGGTCTAAAATTAAGTGCAAATGGATAACATCGTCTAATTATGACGTTCTAATCTCGTAGGCCCTTAGATCGCTTTTAGGCTTACTTTTTTGCTCAGAGGCGCAAGGTGTGGGCGGTGCTAAGGGACTCTCATCTCATGTGTCATAAAAGTTTGGAAAATATGCACGCCGATATTAATTTGTTTATTGTTAAAGGCAAGAGAAATTAAGTAAATATAACATGCTTTTATCGATGATTTTCTTTTATTGAAAACCTAACATTTTCGAAAAAAAAAACACTTCGTCCATTATTAAATGGCCTCGCAAAATTAACCCTAGGTACCCACAAAAACATTTAGTTTTGAACCACCATTGCATAGGTAGCATCGCTTTCGTCTTCCTATGCTAATAGTACGAGAGCTCGAGACAAAAATGTCCAAGGGTTATCTGACCGTGTTCAACACCAGACTCTCGCACTCGCACAGTTGGGTAGAGTTATATCTTTAGGATTTCCACATATTGAAGTATCAATTAGTTAGAAAACTTGCACATTTTTATCACTAGTTCTCAGTATAATCAATCACGGTGCTCATCCATTGAAAATATATTTTGTTGTGCCAAATTTGCATAAAAAAAGAAAAGAATGATTTTCCCCAAATTTGGATACGAAGAAGTAGAATAGGCTTTTTAATTCGTACAATACAATTCTTATATACACGTTTGCAGATTGCGGCCTAGTGGTCTCCCTGCAGGAACGATGGCTGGCGGCGACGGCTGACTCTCGGCCACAAGTCCGCAGTCTAGTGGAGACCTCGCGCACCCTCATGTCACTGCTGTGGCTAAGGATAGTCAGCGTCCCATCAGCAGGTTAACATCACATATTTATGACATATCAACACGATAAAAATTTGCACTCTATTATAGGAGATATATTGTAAGACGTAAGAAGAAGCAAGAAACCTAAAGCAAATTGACAATGACAAGAGCACATCAAATCAAGAAATGTTAACTTAATTGATAATGTTTTAAACTGGTTAAAACTGGTTATGGTTTAAGCTACTTTTACAAAGCCACAGAGTCCAATTATAGGGTTAGTGACCAAAAATATACTTACTTATTTATTATACTTCAATACTTTAGGGCATGAAATAACAACACAATGACCATAACCACAAATTATAACAGACTTTATTCTTTTTTTTTTTAATAAATCATATTTAAAAATAAAATTTTATTATCATATTACAGACGCCGGTATTGGTGCGTTATACGGAGTGTCCGTTGATCACAGGGAGATATGTAAACCGTCGAGTCGCCAATGTCTTTTATACAAAGAGCTGATTGGTTTAATGAACGCTGCCCTTAAACATTGCCGATGCGAATCATCACAAGAAAATCACAATACATAAATAAAATAGGACATTAATAAGTAAAAATATTGTTTATTTTGTTATTGATGTGTCAGAAGTAATCAAAAAACACATACAAAATGATATTTTGAAAGTTGAACAATTTACGCTTAGTCATCGTAGTAACGTAAAATATCTTTCCACCGTTCATACGACTTCTCTTCAGGGGTGGATGCACACATCAATAAAAATTGTATTCCACCCGAAAACAATCAAGTGCGAAGAGTATTAACTCCTACACAAAATAGTGCAATTTTTCAAAACAGAAGTTTATTAAAATATATGACTCCGTAATCAAGACTGTAGTGTATAGGTCACTTGGGTAATTAAATCAGATATAGAAATGTGACGTCACAACACTATTAGATTTGTGCGCATGCCAATCCTTTTTTTTTACAAAGGGAAATGCATGCACACTTCTCCTTGTGCACGCGCGGGTCATCGACTTAATATGGATCTCCTAATTTTTGTAAGATGTTTTAACTCTTACTAAAGTTAAAACATCTTACAAAAAAGTGTTGAACAAATGTATGAACGGTGGAAAGTTTCATAGAAAACCGAGTCAGACTATCAGAATTCAGTAAGGTAAATTTACGCTTAATAAAATTTTATAATAAAAGCAAAATTCAGTATTGGTGACATACTGTAAAGTCTAGGTATTTGTATTCGAATATTTTTGCATTTGTTAAATTGGTATTGTAAGTGTTAAAAATCGTTTGAAAATTGTTATTACGTATTTGTAAAAAGGTGTTAAGGTATTATTTAGGGACTATAAGACATAGGTAACTAAGAGAATATTTTGTGCCACGAATTGAGAAATATACAGGGAGTATGTAATAAATGACATCATTTAATTTTATGACTTTACACTCTCTAAATAGATATTTAATGTTAAAGAGCCATTCAAAAGATGTTATAGTAGAATTATGTATATATTAGTAGAAACCATTATTTTCGAAATCGATAGAATGATGAGTTGCAGGGGAAATTTTATATTTTTCAATCCATATTTTTTATTTTCTTTACCCGAGTCTTATAATTAAGTTTCCACCCCTTAAACACAGCTTTCTTGAGTGTTTATTGGTGTACGCTGCCCTCTCAATTATTCGTGGATTGATTTGAAATGAACCAGTTTTTCGTAAAAAGAAATATGGACTTATATAATTTATTATGTGGACGGAAAAAATGTTACCAGATTTTTATTAAAATCAAATTGTTGAATAAGTTTATTTTGCTATGAACTTTTACAGTGTATTATGGGACTGTCCATAAATTACGTTAATTAATTCACCATTCAGTATATACTTATACTAGCTTTCTGCCTGCGGCCTCGCCCGCGTATTCGTGTATTATACATAAAAACCTTCCTTTTGAATCACCCTATCTATGAAAAAAAACTGCATCAAAATCCGTTGCGTAATTTTAAAGATTTAAGCATACGATTAAGGATATAGGGACAGAGAAAGCGACTTTGTTTTATACTGTGTAGTGATATGTAGAATTTTGCAATAATATTGAATATTATTCCGTCACACTATTTATTATTCGTCGACCCCTTCCCTAATTTTAACATGTGACGTAATTTATATATGGCCCCTATGTTAAAATATTATAATAATAATAATAAAATACATGACAACTAGTCTATTATAAAGTGGTTTTATTTATGAATATTCCTTAAGCGACTTTTGGGAATGTAAGCGGAGGTATAAGAGGGACTTACTAAACAGAACGCGTTTTATGAATTATGTAATTTAAGTTAAGGGTACTATTAATATCTGGAACATTTTTTCTTTTTTCAATATGGACTGGCTGTTTTTGAAAACTCATTTACTACTTCAGTACATTTGACGTCGCGCATAAAGCGTTGGTCAGAACAACTATATATTTCACGAATGTTTGTTTTTTTTATATTTTTATTTTATTTTTGCCATTGGCAAATTTCGCCGATTCCAAATATGCATTACTATAGGTATACTGACAAAAAAGTCGCTTATTTTGAATCTATTAGCACCCCTCGAATCATGATGCGACTTCTTATTCTTCTTTTTAACTATAATGGCACTTTGCGTCACCACAATACTGCCAACAACTAATTGAACCAAACATTACCAATTCTCTCTTACTACATGGATTTACCGAAAACAACACGTTAAATGATTTTATTACGTTATTAAGGAATTATTTTATATAAACAATCATTTAATCATAATCATTTTGAGTCTTATCACAGACCATTATTAAATTAACTAATTGTGATAAAGTAAGTGAACGAAATGTAACACCACTGACGTTAAAGTTTTAGTTGATTAACACTGAATTAATTCATTTCAAAATATAAGACGAGTGACGCTGCCAAACTGACAGACGCCTACTTTTTGTTTAGAGATAATTTATACTAGCCTTTTATACTATCAACTGTACATTAATACGAACACAAGCTCCTTTTGAATGGAGTAAAAAGTAAAACAAATAGATCGCAAAAATGTATTTTATTTCAAAAATTACCTTATAAATTAAATTGAAACATACATACAGGAACAAATAACATTTTTTTTATTAAAATTGGAAATTTACACTTTACATCAAATAATAATAAAGAACATAATATGCTGTGAATTTTAACACAAGGTAATAAAGTCTAAAATCAACATGGCCACGAACTTATCTAGTCATTATACTTATAACTAGTACAAAAAAACTGAGACTCGAGTTTTAAATTTTTCACTTATGGCTAATTAAGTTATTGGTCTAGTTAATAAAGATAATACTAGAGTCAAGTTTTCTACTATAATAGGATATATGCATAGGTATAAATTTATATAATTGTTCGAATTTAAAGTATCAATTTTTAATTATTAGCAGTAAATAAAGATGCATCAGTTTTCTCTTATTTAATAGATAGGTATTATTATACAAAATAATGAGGTGGGTAGGTACTTGTGACAGCATGTCATCGTCAAACCAAAACCCGCAACCTGTTACAACCTGTAGGTGTACTTTTTGAGATTTCTACCTTTTGCCCTTAGCGTAGAATTCACAGTACTATTTACCGTATAAAATAACTGCTTTATGCCTATGAGCATGGTACGACGTTCTATGTCCTCTTTATAAAATATAACTTTTGAGTTTCAATATCCTTCAATATCCTATTAATATTTCAATATTAGTTTCAGTATACTTTTTCACATAACAGATTTTGGTTTGACAACGACGACATATTGGTTAAAATACCATGCATATATCCCATCGTAAACCTTTATTTATAAAGAATTCCAGTTTTTGATTATGTTGTTTTTCTTTAATTCTACATGTGAAACTATAATACAAGCCAGGGTTGCCGAAATATATGAAATCATAATCATATTACCGTGTAACAAGGTTTTCACACAATAAAAATATAATAAGTCTGTATTATATATCAACTTAAATATAACAAACATATTTAGGACACATAAAAATATTCCTATTAGGTATTTAAAAAAGGATTTTAATATAAACCTGTATATACTTTTTTTTGTGGATAGGAAACGAAAAGATGACAGACAACCCTAGCATAAACTCAAGTAGAAATAATTGACTTTAATTTTGTAAATCAATTTTATGCATATTTTTAATAGGTTGAGCTCAAATTTCACAACCTCTTTTTTTCATTTGCCAAAATGAGGGCAAGGTATAATTAAACCTAATTAATAATGAATCGTGTTCGTGTTTCTATATCATTTAATATGTCTGCATAGTCTAACATCACAAACTTATCTTTCTCTTAATATAATATACAAATAAATAATAAAATTACTCTTAACATACATAACTGTTTCTCCTAATGAAAATCAAAAACCGATTCATTTCAAACTATGCTAAAATTAAATGACAATCATGCATGCAATAAAAGGAGACCAAATATACATAGATGTCATTTTAATGAACCAAAGACAACATAGAAACTCCACAAAACTTCCCGCCAGAAAAAAAAATAAAATCCATTATGTCAACATTTCTTTTTTTATCAAATAAAATCTTAAAATTAACTTAAGAATATTTATTTTTGGAATTGTAGCGACGTTAATTATTCAAATTCTCCTTTGGACATTTTAATACTCGGTAAGAATTAAAAATAAATAAATATATACTGACGCCAAGATGGATCCCGCACTATATTATAGAATGATGCAGTATTTCGTGGACAAACGCGAATTACCACAGTGAAATTAATTGAAACCTATAATGAATAATAAAACAATAGAAAGTAGTACATAGTAATGAATAAACTGACTCTTATTTACAGTTTTAATGATCATAATCAATGAATTTCTAATATATAATGGATAGATACCAACCTTATCATAGCAGTATAACACTGAAACACATCACACATTTGAGACACGACGTATTGGTAAATGCAGAAGATTGTTAATACGACAAACTAGTCTGCATGGGCTAAGATCCCTTTGCCTTAAAAGAAATGATTCCTAATAACTTGCCGTCATTGTCGTGCAGTAATGAATATTATTTATGCTTATTTTCTAACTAATAATGCCGCTCTATCATAAGGGTGTTGATGCTGTACCCCTATATATTAGAATGCCATCAAGTACAAATTCTATTTTAGTTAACTTTTTCTGCATTCATTTTTCAATAAATTCCATTGCTTAATTGCGCTCACTCAGGTTCTTCGTAGAATTTTCCGAATAGGTCAAACTTGTTATAGTTCGAAGCCAAAGAAATAATATTTAGTCCGTTTATAAACTTAATATCATCATATTATTACCGAAGTCAATAAAACATTTTAAACTTGATTTTGATGGTCAATTCATTGACATAAATATTTTATATTTATGTTCATAACAAATTAGTTTATCATTAAAATTTATTACAACCTGTAGGTACCTAGTTGATTAGCAAATATGTTCTATATTATAAATAAGTTTCTTTTTAATATCCTATAAGTATCATTAAAGAAAAAGTGATTCTGTGCTTAATAAAATTGGTAACTAAATACTTATTAATATATATTTTATCACGTCATGAGAATTTGAATCTGAATTTTAAATCTTCCATGTTTTGTGTGCGTATAGGTAGACCGTATATCATAAAAGAAAATAATTATTATTATAATAATTTTGTCTATGCCTCATTTACAACGAATCAGTGGGTCACTGGACAAAGCCAGGTAATGTAACCCTAATTAAACGATTTTTTTTCGAAGTTCTTAAACCGATTACTATGAAAAATTTCAGTTGAATAGTATCGATTTAAGCTCCTTTGATCTATAGTTAATCGTCGACAGATCATCGACAGTTGAATTTTACTAAATCGTTATTTTATGCACTAGTTGAAACAACTGTCTTTTCCATTTTAATTCAAGTTAAATCTTTTATATATTTCACTATTTCCAATTTTCTAGATAACAGTTTACTTCTACAAGTAACATCTGTAGTGTTAATACAATCAGGTATATATGATTTCGAATCAGTATTAGTTTTCAATGCATCATTAGCATTGTAGCTTATTTTGTTTTGTGCGTGTCCTTTAGAATAAAATATTTTATTTTGATCACTTCTAGCTTTGACGTTACAATCTAAAAAATTATTAATACTAGAATTGGCATTCGTATGATTATCCATATCAGGGGTGCTATGGTCTTTATCATCTCGGATATTCATTTTTCCGAATTGAAATACCATATCATCATATTTCTCTTGGATGTAACTATTATCTGTACCACTATTGGAATCTAATGTCTTAAAAGCATTACCGTTTACGTCAACATTTAATTTACCTACATCAGTTGCCTTGACAAATATCTCGTTGTTTATTTTATTATTAATAATTCGATTTTTTCTATGAAGATGTCGCAGAAAGTCTCTGTCTATTAAATCAAAATCTTTTCTGTGTAAATCATTGCTTTTATCAATATTATTTCTTAATTCAAGATAATACTGACTAATATTTTTTACACTAGAACTTTCAATATTTGTAAAATTCATATTGTGACCCTTTTGGTTTGTACTGCTGTAATTAGTACTATTAACGGTTTCGATCGATGAAATTTCTGGATCTATAATCTCATTATGTTCATTTGCTTTACAATAAACATGTGCATTACTAATTTTTCGATGAACTCTAAAGATTCTAGACGTTCCATTGTTATAATTAATTACTCTATCACAATTATCATCGTAAGTTATATTATCAAGTGTATCATATTTATCATAAAGTTTAACTTCGCTTTTAGCCGTTTCATTATCTGCTGTATTAAAGAGATGTATATAATTAGTTTCATATGGGTTTTTGTTAATATTCATTTCTTTGGCTTGTCGATTTTGACCTAAGTACTGCACCGTGCTATACTCAAGAGCGGGGCCCGCCTAGGCAAACAGGGCATTAGGATCTGCGTCCGCGATCTCGCAAACGAACTGATCTTGTTCTAGCGGTTTTTTTATCCATCGACCTAGTTTCGCCTTTTCGAATGCTTCAAATAAACGGTCTTTAGCCACCTGCAGACAAAACGCAGTCTTTAAATAATACCAATACACAAATAATCATGTACAATTTCTATATAGTTATTGACCTGTCACATGTTTTTTTAAAGGTCGCCTCTAAAACCACTATTAGTGATAATTTAAATTAGTTTTTTCATAAAATAGAATAATATATTAGCATTTTTTTTCATTTGGAGGCTAGGGATATTCGTAATTTGTAAATAATGTTCCGAGGTTATGACAGCTGTCAAAACTTGAGATAATTGCGAAGCTACTTTAAAAAATAATCTATTAAAAGCAAAACTATAAATAGTTTGACTCGTAAGTATAGAAACAAATCTAAAAGTAATTATTATTGTGTACTTTTTTACCTTATAAGGAAAGAATATTTTTTCCGTAATAGATGAAACGAAACGTAGCAAACCGTCATTAGGTCCGAATCGCAGTCAGATAGTTATCAGAGTACTATTTAAAATTAATTATCTGTCTCGAAATTTTTATCCTGACTTTATTTTAGGATTTAATTTCTTGATATGTGATAAGTAAAAAATAAGTTATTTTTTGAGATGTATCAAATCACTACACATGTAGACGCATTAGTAAATTTTTGAACAAAATTGGACATGATTCTTTATTTATTGAGCTATTACATTTTTATAGGGCAGATGACTCGATTTTAACCATTTTAAGTCTATAACATAGTTTTGGTTATATCAAGAGTTATAAGGAAATGAACATTGAAGCGGAGAAAACGGGGTATTCACTGTGCATGGGCATGGCCGCGGGCAAGTCTGCAGACATATCTGCCACACTCGTTACTATAGGGCGGGTATGACTAAAGTGACCATTTTTTTTTCGTGTTAAAACGGGACGTTTACAGAAATTTTAATGTAGACAAGTAAATAATATAAAGATTTGTTTGTTAAAGCGGGACCTTCTTATTCTCTTGAATTTTACATTGTTGTTAAAATTATATATAAATTTTATGTTACCTGGTACGTCGGACAAAGCTGCTTGGCCTCGTTGTAGAGGAGATGCTCCAGATCTTGTGGCAGTTCTGGAATGGGCTGACCAGGTTCGGTCTCCTAACAAACAATGCAAAAAGAAAAGCTATTCAAGATGGCTCAAAATCTTATTAGCAAATTGATTGCAATTAAAAAAAAACAAAAAATCTCTGGTTAATGATACACATAACATGAAAACCCGTGAAAAACGCATGATTTCTGCGTAATATGAACTGTCAAAAATCCACTTTTAGAAATCGTTGAAAACAACACCGCCCATTGGTAGATACAGCTTAGAATAGAGTGATTCAGCAGATTCCTTACCGTGACATGATTAGGGCAAGATGTGATATTGAAATGGTTTTCATATGGTAAGATTCAAGTAGTATCTCGATTGTCATCTATAGGCCCTAAGCCCACTTCAGGCTTAGGGCCTATAGATGACAATCGAGATACTACTTGCCTAAGGCATCAGCGGTCTTAAATATTTATTTTCTCAAATATTGTATAAGTACAGTTATTTCGTTAGTTTTAAGCTCAGCAATATTTTTGCCTTGTACAGTAAGTAGACATGCAAATATTATACACCGTCAAACTATCTACATACATATTACAAAAAATATATATAATATATGTCAGATTATTGAATGATAGTCATATTATATACTGTCATATTTAAATTCAAAACAAATTTCTATTCTATTGACAAAGTCAAACACAATCAATACAAACATTTATGTCTATTATACTCCATTCATTATAACATTAGAAAAAAGAGGGTCATAGAAGCAGCAGTGCAGAACATTTTATTTTAAAGATAAATTTAAAAATATGTATTATAGTTTTGTTGAAACTTTGAATGTTAGGTAGTTTGAAAGAGCTGGGCAATTTTCAATTGTTTACAATACCTCGGGGTTGAGATGAGGCCAGCATTTTCTAAATTCATCTTTTACTCTCAAACCAAAATGGAACTAAAACTATCTGTCTGTTGCTTGGATAATAAGAATAGAATTTAGTTATGTCTGTGCCCAGGAGAGAAAGGGATAAAAAATATAAAAAAATATATTAATTTTATAACATTTATTCAGACATTAGACTATTGATGAAGACATTTGAAAAAACTTCCTGAAATGTCAAAGGTTGAGGGTAGGGATGGGAGCTTAGAGCGTAATTGTTGTAGGCCACTCGGTCCTACACCGGCATCGTCCATAATTAACAAAACTTAACAACAAAAACAAAACTATAACAAAACATAAATAAAACAATACCAACTTAATCATGGAAAACGGCAAAACAACAAGAAAGGCAGTAGCATTCACAAACCCAGATTACGTATTTTGACAATTATGAATAGACAAAATTAAAAAGCTGTACTGCCGAAACGTTTGACGGGATTAGCAACGTTTTAAATTTGGTAGAGTTATAGTGACATGAGAATGGTGCCGAAACCACAGAACACATAAAGACGTTAGAAAGGCCTTGTGGTAGCCACGATCCTGGACAAATGTACAGGATCGTGACTTCACGCGATCGCTATGTTTAGTCATTAACGAACGCGCGCGCGTTAATGAAAGTAAGTCAAGTAGGTCCAAAAGAAGGATTTCTTTCCATTAGTAAGTAGAACACTTCTCAAAGTTAGTATTTTTTGTCGAAATTCGTGAAATGTTATCAAAAGTGTGAATCACAAGAAATATTTCCAAGAAAATATACATTGCTGGAGAAGTGCGCATATTTATTACATTGCGTCGTACTAAGCACGTAATGTAAAGAACATCGCGATATCACCGTTTTAAATAGCAACATAATAGATTAAGGTCGATGGGTAGTGAAGTGCCTGGAAACATTCAATCGATTCTTGGCGTGTTAGCAAAAACTAAATAAAAGTATGAACGATAAAAATAGTGGTAATAAAAAATAAATTTAATCAGAGATTAACAATAGCAATAAATAAAATGTAACCCTATTTTTGACTACCATATTGACTTCGTTTGGTATGAGTTTGTATATTAATTTAAAAATTAGTGTGGTAATAAGTCTGTTTTTATATTTTTAATATTGTAACAGAAAATTAGTTTTTTTTTTATTTTGAACCATTAACAACAATACTTTTTAAATCATCGGAAACCTGTTTACTTGATACGAAATCAAGTAAGGTAACGTAGAAAAAGTTACCTACTATTATTATTAATAAACAAACATATTTATATGCAAATGACTATTTAACCTCGACTAGTACAGATTCAATGTTAGTTCATGAGTCATTAGTAATTTAATTAATCCTTATTGAATCAACCAACTAATTAACAATTAATATCTAAAAAAAGATAATGTCACATTTGATCAATACAATTTAATGTATATCCAAAATGATATGAAGAAATCATTACTCTAGTATCCATTCAATTAATCGACTTGTTGTTTTTCAATATCGATAGTAAATAACTTCACGTCAATCACTAGTGTGATATGTCAAATTAAAATGACTTTTTCACGTTCATTACGCACTATAGATGCCTGTTATGGTTGAACGTGATTGGTTATAGTAATATTGGAGCGTTCTGATTGGCATGTTTAAAATGCAAGTGTGTGCATATCTTTTGTATAATTGGTCTAATATTTCGTCTGATGTACGGCGGACTAAAAGTGGGGCAAGACTGGCGACATCGGTTTTCGTACAAAAGATGCACGATCGCCTTTCTAACCTCTTTTCCGTGTTCTGTGGCCGAAACTATCCAACCCTGTTTCCTTAGGTTCTTTTAGCGGTCGTGTGCTGTCTTAGTGTCGTTTTTTCAGATATTTAATTAATTCAATTTTTGTGATTGGCCGTGAGTGAAATTTTTAATTCCTTGTCTCGCAAGGGGTCGTTAAACGGAGTAACTCCTCCTACTGGGCAGTCCTAGAGTGGGATAACTAATTTGACATAAATCCGTGTGCATAAAATTGTGTGCTGGGCGGAGATTCGAACTCGGTCTCGTGGATTGTTGCTGCGTCTGGTACGAAAACTGCGCCGCTATTAAAGCCGTGTAGCAACCGGTGAAATAAAAGATTCTTATCGAAAGGTGACGTTGTGCTACGTCTTGCTACGTTTGCTACGAATTCATTGCGTCTGCTACGGCACTACACTGCATCTACGAAGTCGGTGATTACTGTTAAACTATTTTCGATCGTACTTTTATCGTGAAAATGCCTAAAGTCCAGCGTAGCCCGCCCGTTTCCCCATCCAAGCAGACACAATCACAAACAGAATCGGATTCATCGGCAGCAGATAAGCCGCCGACGGGAAGTTATAAGACAGCGGTTCGTTCAAAACGCTTACGAATGGAATTATCGCCCCAAAGTAATACCGAGAATGATTTGCAAGATTTAAAAAAAGAGCTTATGGTTATGCTTACCTCATGGAAAACAGATCAAGATGCCACATTATCAAAACTTGTTGCGGACATAACAGCACTGAAAAATCAATGTTTTGATATACAAACAACAAATTGCGGAATCGAAAAATCGATATCTTCTTTAGGTGCACAATATGAAGAAGTAAAAAATAAGATTGGAAAGTTGGAACTAGAGAAAAACCAGAATACTGAATTGTTAATGGCGCTAGGAAAGCAAATGGATGAATTCCAACAATTATCAAGATCTTCAGCTATTGAAATCAGAAATGTGACAGAGGAAGGGAAGGAGACTGAGAAGGAGCTTACTGAAATTATTAAAAATCTTGGTTCCACCATTAATATTAATATAGAAGACAAAGATATAAGAGATATATACAGGCGCCCAGGAAAACCGGGGACGACTAAGGCGATAGTAGTTGAATTCAATTCTGTACAATTTCAAAACAACTTTCTTCATTCCACCCGTCGTTTCAACAGAAACCGGCAGGCATCAGAGAAGCTCAATCATGAGCACATCGGAAAGTCGGGTGACAAGCGACCAATCTATGTGGATGAGCACCTTCCCTACTCAACTCGCAAACTTCTGTTTCAAACCCGTGAATTTGCAAAACAACATAATTTTAAATTTTGCTGGATATCTAGGGGCAGGGTGCTGCTCCGCAAAGATTCGAACACTAAATATATACATATTAAGTCTGAGAAATGTCTGCCTAATCTTCTTACTTTTCTGTAGGCTGGTTAACTTTCTTTTTTATCTTACATTACAGATATATAAATGTACAAGAAATAAACTTTCATACTGTCAAACAATACACGAACACATATTCAACACACATAAAAATACTACTATTTACACTACTTTATTTGCAACCTACTATAAAAATTTCCTTAACATACATACATGTCCTAAATTGTTAAATATGGTTGTTTCATTATATTATAAATTCTCAAATATTCTATGTGAAACAACATCTCGTTTTCTTTTGTTCACATTTAAACAAAAACACGAAAAACACTGCAACGCACGCCTATCACATCACTATTTCTACAAGTATATATTAACTATGTCTCATTTTAAACTTGTTATTATGATAGATATTGAACAATGTACATTTGTCCTATGGCTAGTACAGGCTTTCTCCTTCTCAGGTAGAGGGTGTAAAATTTTACAAAATAATTTACTATATTTGTTGGACTGTGCCGGTCTTATGTTGTCTCTAATGATGATAAATGTAAATAAACAATGTTGCTTTAAATAAAAATGACAGACTTAGATAATATAATAGTTGATATTGACAGCATAAGACCCGCACAATCCTATTGCTGTACACCCGAAACCTGTATAGAGTACTTGTATAATAACTTATCGCTTAATATAATACATGCCAATATTAGGAGTATAAATAAAAACTTCGATAATTTTCTAGCCACGTTGATAGCAACTAAAATAGAGTTTGACATTATTATACTGTCCGAATGTTGGTTGAAATCTGCTGGTCCTCTCCCTTCTCTTACAGGCTACACTGCCCATCAAACGTTGAATAATCCAATTCAAAATGATGGAGTTGTAATATATATAAGATCTTCCTTAAATTATCAAATTAGTGAACCAAACATCTTTGACGCTAACTGTTTGGTTTGTGGTATTGGTGATGTTGCTATAGTTGCAGTATATCGCTCTCCATCTTATTACAATCTTGACAAATTTTACAACAGTTTTGAAATTATAATTAATTCATTGAAATATCCTAATATCGCAATAATGGGAGACTTCAACGTGGACATAAAGGAAAATAATAATAAAGACCATCATTCGGATGAATATCTTACCTTTATGTCGTCGTTGGGGTTCCTTCCGGCCTGCACCTACCCTACTAGATCAGAAAATTGCCTAGACCATATCTTTTTAAAAACAAAGCTTGTAGCTGTTGCAGTAGTCATGCAGAGTGAGATCACTGATCACTATCCTACAGCTTTATCGTTAAAAACTAAAAATAAAATAAAGAGACATGGATCCTGTGGTACAGTTAGTAAAATTGATTTCGAAGGCGTAAAGCACGAATTGGATACGGCAAATTATAGCATAGTTTTAAAAGAATCAAATGCAGATTTGGCGACAAACAATTTGATAACCATTATACAAACTGTAATCAAAAAGCACAAAACAACTAGAAAAGTATCTCGTAAAAATGTTATTATTAAACCCTGGATAACCCCTGGCATCCTACGTTGTATACGAAATCGCGATTCAATGCACCTTAAATTGAGAGGTTCACCTGATAATCATATTTTAAAAATCACCTACTGCAGATACCGTAACTTTTGCAACAAACTTTTGAAAAATCTTAAAGCTGCCTACGAAAAATGTCAGTTTGAAAAGGCAAAAAATAATCCTAGGGCCTTATGGAATGTCGTTAAAACGGTAACTAACACTAAACAATGTAAAAAGTTTGCTGTTGAACTTCTCAATATTAAAAATGATAGTAAAGCTTCGTTGAATTGTGTGAATGAATATTTTGTAAATATTGGCAAAAATCTTGCCTCTAAAATATTGCCCCATATACAACAGACCCAGAGTAATATTGAAGAAACAAACACCGGAGGTGGCTCCTTTGCCATCCTACCTGTAGACGAGTCTATAATAAAAGATCTGATTTTGGGACTTCGTAGTGATTGTGCGACTGGATGGGACGAAATACCCTCTCGAGTTATCAAACAGTCCTGCAGTGCACTGACACCGCCCCTGGTACATATTTTCAATCTATGCATAGAGAGGGGAGTGTTTCCGGGTGCCTTTAAAAGAGCTGTTGTGTCACCAATTCATAAAGGGGGCGACGTGGATGTCCTTTCTAATTACAGGCCCATTTCCGTTTTGACTGCTTTCTCGAAACTTCTGGAGAGATATCTTAATGCTTCACTTGTGCAATATTTGACAAAATTAAAAATACTGTCTGACAACCAATATGGCTTTCGTAGTGGTATTTCTACGGAGGACGCCGTTTCTAACTTTGTCGGTACGGTTGTCTCAAAAATAGAGAAAAAGTTAAAATGTTACGGTGTCTTCCTGGATCTCTCCAAGGCCTTTGATACCGTCTCTGTGCCTATTCTTCTGGCCAAGCTTGAAAAGGTAGGTATACGGGGCCTTACATTAGATATGTTCACAAGTTACCTGACAGACCGAACACAAAATGTAAAAATAGGATCTTTATTTAGTGATGAAAAATTAATATGTTATGGCGTTCCCCAAGGTAGCATACTAGGTCCCACTCTCTTTTTAATATATATTGACCAGCTGTGTCGCATGTCTCTTGAGAAATGCGATATTTTTACGTATGCTGATGATACTGCACTATTAGTCTATGGTGATAGTTGGATCTCCGCAAAGGCAAATGCAGAGAGCGCACTTGCAAAAATCAAGATCTGGTTAGATGAGAATCTTCTTACCTTAAACCAAGATAAAACGCAAGTTATTCGATTTGACATCTCCAAGAAGCACCTTAAAGATCTACCTAATGATGACATTAAAATTCATCACTGTCATGACAAAGATCCGTGTGTATGTAGTAGCAAACCTTTAAAAGTTGTGAATAGTGTCAAATATTTGGGAGTGTACGTTGATGACAAACTCGACTGGCATGTACAAATTCAGATTCTCACAGCAAAGGTTCGTAGGTTGATTTATGTCTTCAAGAGACTGTGCAGTTCAGTTGATCAAAACACTCTTTTTATAATCTATAAGGGTCTGTGTCAGTCAGTAATAGCATATTGCATTTCGGTTTGGGGTGGGGCAAATAAAACAAGCCTTTTGAGATTGGAACGAGCTCAGAGGGCTGTACTTAAGGTTTTATTGCGTAAGCCAAGAACATACTCTACGGAAAAATTATTTCATGAATGTAAAGTGCTTACAGTGAGGCAGCTGTCGATACTTCGTATTCTTTTACGTAAACATTCATCAATACCTTTTGATCATAAAATAACAATGAGGAGGTCGGGAGCTCCTGTTTGTCATCAAATAAAATGTCGGACTTCGTGGGCGAAACAGCAATACAACGCGCTAAGTTTAAAACTGTACAATAGAGTGAATAAAATTAAACCAATACTTTCGCATACAAAGCTCACTGTGAAAACCATTATCGAAAATTTGTTATTGTCATTTAACTATCACGAAACAGAGGACATGTTAAAGTAGGCAAACCAAATAGAATATATATACGCACACAAATACGACACAGGCAACACGCACACACACACCCACACACACACACACACACACACACACACACACACACACACACACACACCACACGCACACACACACACTCACGCATAGGTTTACACACAAAAGTTCTACCGATACCGATATATATATAAACAATGGTTGTAAAATGTTCATTGAGATAAGAGGAATCACTGACTTCCAAAAAACAGATTTAATTCTAGTTTGGGGGTCAGGGGCTCACAATAATTTAGGTGCTAATTTGTAACCAAAAATGCAACATTATTAATTTATATATATAAGAGAATGTTATTAAATTTGTTTAATGGATAGTTTAAATGACAACAGTTAAGTATAGCAACTGGTATTTAATTGGATATGTAGCTAATTAGCCGTCAGTCTTAAGAGTAACACGATTGTTGATATTTTGTCACAAAGTATACCTTAAAAAGAACCTTATTTAACTTCTGTCTAATGCTATAATGAATGGAGTATAGGTATATATATTATCATTATTCTTAGATTTTTCATATAATGTTAAACTATTACTAATGAGAAAGTATTAAAAAAATCATTAGTTCCCGAAATCAAGCTAGATGTCGCTACGGTATTTTCTTGATTTCTCCATGACAACCTTTCATGTATAAAGGTAAATTAATTTTCAAAATTCAATAAACAACTCATATTCTACTTGTACTTTTTCATATTTGTATTAATATCCGAGTTTTGTACTTTGCAAATTTCCGTTTTTTAATATGTAAGTTAAAGGATTGGAAGAATTGGAAGAATACTTCCTCATTGAAATTTCAGAATATTTATTTCATTATTTTTAGGAAGATTTACAGATAAATATCAACATTAGGTTACATAGTAAATTATTCCGATGCTAATTACAAATCTCCAAAAATAGGTTATAAATTAAAAGTTAAAAACCTAGAGGACAACTTAAAAGAAAAATGAAAACATTAACATTCGTGCAATAATAACAAAATATCTATTAATCGTTGTTATCATCAAAGAAACTGAGACTCAATACTTTTTTTAACATATGTGGTGTAAGAACAAAACAAGTCATCATCATAATACGTAGTCTATTAAATGTATTGGACGCTCATATCACGAAAGTATTCGTTCTACAACGTGTTCCGGCCGTCAAAGGACATAGAAGTGGTATTTGTCTTAATCGAAGCTGGTTAATTTTAAAGTTTAATAGAGATAGTATTTCAGAACAGTCGACCCTTCCGCAGGCGACATTAGTCAGGTAACAGACATCACTAATCATTGTTCTTGTCTCCAACGGTAGAAAATGATACTTTTTGCATCTATGGTAATAGTCAATAGAACACTGTTGAGATTTAAAGTCTAGGAACTTAGGAAATCTTTTCTGAATTCCCTCATTCCGAGTTTTGTAGGTTTGATATTGAGGATTCCAGATTTGAGATGCATATTCAAGGTGGCTCCGCACATACGAGGAGTATAAGATTTTAAGCGTTTTTATATCTCAGAAGTTAGCGGAACTGCGGATGATAAACCCCAGTGCTCGAGAACCTTTTTTACCTATATAGTCTACATGTTTATTAAATAGTAATTTCGAGTCATTATTACGCCAAGATCTTTAATTTCGTAAACTCTAGACAATATGTGATTTTTTAGTGTATATGTGAAATTTCTAATGTTATAGCAGCGGGTGAAGCACATATAGAAACATTTCGCAACATTAAGTTCTAGTTTGTTTTTTATGCAGTATCCTTCGAATCTACATGAATAAGCCTGAAGATCTCCAGGATCCAAGTCGCTGCGTATAACATTTAAAATTTTCATATCAGTCGCGAATAAAATTGAAAGCACTCAGCAATATCATTCACATATATCGCAAACAGTATGTATATGTCACTTATAAATGTCAACTGATGTACACATAACCATAATATAATGTTAAAAATACCAGTTATATGAGAATAAAAGATTATACAGTAATAGAGTGACAAAAAAAAAATATTATTAATTTATTCATAGGACAGTTATTTAGTTAGTGAGCCTGAAGTGATCTTACCTGTGGCAATGCTGACACACGTTTGACCAAGTACTGCCACCTGGCGAACATACTCTGCTTGCACAGCAAAGACGGCTGCCCGCTCTCTAGCTTCCCTGTAGTCGCGTTCACTACTTCGGGTTGCTAAAAATATTAAAGAGTTGAAGGTAACATTACTAACTTATTAAAAGAACAATTTAAAATTTTCCTATAAAAACACTCATGTGACATTTCGAGCCGTCACGTCACACAATCAACATGAGTACCTACTGGTTGCACTCGCACCAAATATGTTGACGGTTAGTTAAATTCAAACTATATTATTATTACAGTTCAATTCCCACGTCAATGAAGCTGCGTTTTACAGCTAGTATAAATACATACCTTATAAATATTAATTTGTACTCATATATATACTCAAGGTGCTCAAAAATTACACATCTACAACATCATCATTATATGGACACGAATGTACAGTCGACCGCACGTCGGATTATACAAATGTAGCAAATTTACTCACTCCATTTTAGATTTTAAAATACATTGAAAGTTGAGGTGGAAATTCAATGAGGAAATTGACTTATTGTGGTAACCCGATGAGCAGCCGTGTATACACAAGAATGATTACAATCAAAATAGATTACGAATTGAAATCAAAATGGGATTCAATAAAAACAATACAAAGGAACAAAATATGCTAAAAGTAATTATAATTAAATTACATTATTATCAAGTACTTACCTAATAAGTGACGGTAAGTATCAAATTTGTTTATTCCTATAAATCATAGCACTCAAAAGATATTTTTTAATTGCAACTCCCTCATCAGGGTCAAATTTCATGTGGCGGATTCTAGAACATACATAGCACGGTCGCCGAACATAAAGAATGCATATCGTAAGCATTTGAGATTCATTTTACTATGACAAAACTGGTTAGATGCATCTGTGCGAGTGCAATAGAAATGTGTTTGCGTGTGAAAGAGATATGTAATGCCGGATCAATGTACGAAATTGTGTCTGTTCGGCTACCATGCTATAGCCGTACTTTTTTATGAAAAAAAAAAGATATTGAGTTCAATTCACACATCATGTAATACTTACCGGGGTGGTGGAACACCAGCACACACTGAACGACGGCGCTCTGGCTGGAGTACGCGCTTCAGTGCTTGCCGCGCGAGCCAACAGAGGGCGTTGCAATTCGAAGGGGGGCGGCAGAGACGCTATGTACGCCTCTATGCGACCACATATAGCTCTGTGAAATATTCAATAAGGAATAAGCACTGAGTTAAAAGTAGGCCAGTATTTACAAATGAGAATAAATAAATGTAGAAGTGAGGAGCGATACTGACAAGAATTTGGTGGTCGCCTACAACTTAAAATACAGGTTTATGTTATATACGTCGTAGCCAACTTGTTGAAATATCCGTTCAATTGGGCAACTAGCTATTTCATTGGATGGCGCCATTCAATTACACGCCGAGTTGTCTAGTTAAAATATTATGACGATCTGTCATGTGCTGCAAAACATTTGGAATAACGCCATTGTTCTTCTGTATGAGCGATAAAATTACACAGTATTAGTGTGTGATGACCACGCCACTAAACAAAAACCATCTTCCTACATCCGCCGTAATTAAAGCTTAACGCACCGTTTGTTTCGTAATGGGCTTAAACACTTATTATCTTAAACTGTTGTTATCAAGTTACATATTTTCAATCAGTATTGCCGAATACTTAATGTGATTACATTGCCATTATGCTTATAATTATATAGAAAAGTTACTATTAGACATCGGATATAATTCAATTTTCTATAGCGTCATTGCGTATTTTGATACTTTTTCATTGACAGTGCTTATTTTAGTAGTTATACATGCTAGGCGTGTTGTATTAGTAAATGTGGTGCTTGGGTATCTGCATAATTTTATAGATCATAGGTGTCTTATAAAATAAAATACGGCAAATAAAATAAAAAAATAAACAAATTTGCTTAAACAGTTCTTCAAAAGCGTTTCTTACGCCTTGTCCTAGATTAATGTGAATCAAGTTTGAAGACTGCGCATAAGGATTGGTGCAAATCTGAGGAAAGATCCGTCAAGTGTCTCATGTAAGTATACGTTGGTACACAGACATATTATCTATCAGTTCTGTCAAGATGAACAAACAAAAAATTATAAGAACGAATGAACAAAAATTTATTCATTCGTTCTTATAATTTTGTTAAACTCCACGAGGATTTTCTATTCTCCGTTGCAATAAAGTTATCGAACAATGGATTTACACAGAGCACCTTCTATGAGCAACTAAAAAATAATGTATGCACATCGTAAAATGTGGGGGATAAGTAACTCGTCACTATTATTTCTGGGCAGTTTCAGCTTGTATAATGCTTAAAGCGATGTCGAGATGTGGAGTGATATAATATATAACAATCTATATATAGTCCAGACGGACAACTGTGGAGTGTGAACTTTTAGGATTTCCGTTTTTATCCTTTTGAGTATGAAACCTAGAAACGACGGCCACAAAAATTAGCGCACTAGGCTTGCCGACCGGACCATAACACTTTTGACCTTAAGATAAAAACCTCCTATGTTGCCGCATCTTTATATTTCTATATCTAAATTTGAAAATTTGTATTGGTAATACTAATATGGCATTAATCTAATGAAAATTTAATGAATATTTGTGCAGCTGGTCATAAGTCTTAAAAATATGCTAAGTATTAAAAAAGTAAAAAAAACTATCATAATAACACACGTTTTCTATGATACCATTTTCCATACGTTTATTTATATACTTATTACATCAGAGGTGGTTAATTGAACTAGTCGCCGCGGAAAGCAAGTCTCGCAATAAACAAGTTTGAAAATTGCTACCGAACATAGTGTCCATATCTAGAAACGCAACTAACGCAGTACCAATAAATAAAGTAATATATAATAAGCATTATTAAAATAAATTATCATGCAAAATTTAGATAACAAATTTAGATAGCCCTAGGATTCTGTAAAAAACCAGACCCGAATTCGAATTCACTAATGTATCCGAATCCATGTCATTTAGTATACAAACTCTATTGATTACATTATTTGTATAAAAATTGATTGAATATACGTGTCTCAGATATTCTATTGCTATGTCATTTCGAAACTCTCTTTACTTATGCGACGAAAAGTTATTACTAATTTCAAGGTTGCGAGGATGCCGAGGAGAATTCGTTTTCGGGTTTGGTTTTTTCTAGAAACGTAGGATAGGTCTCATAAATGTGTTACGAATTGTTATTAAAGCAATAACTATAAAATTAATAGTGACCAAAACAAATAAGTTCTAACTAAACTGACACTAGAAATAAGATATATAACTCGTACGAATTAACATGACACCAGAAGGTCTATTCTTTATCTCCAAAAATGAAATTTCGTCTATTTTCGAAATGCTTATAAGACTCCAAAGAAACTCATTTTCCAATAATTTATGATGCAACGGCAGGACCTGACGCTGCCTTTAATACACAGATAATCTTCATGGATATAATTTTTTACAAAATTATAGAAGATTCGAAATTATCCGAATTTTCGTCCGAGGACAAATAATAGGACGAGTTATACATAATTACATCATATTTCTATGTGACGTTACTGAGTTCAAAAATTATTTTATCAAGTTTTCTTGACACTGATCAGATTTCCGCCTAATATAAGGAAGAGTAGAACGAGTGAAGTGACTCCCTTACAACCGCGAGCCGAACATAAATACAAAAAAGGAATCGAGTGAGTGAGCGAAGCGATTCCCTTAACACAGGGAGCCGTTTACAAATACTAAGGAAAGATTGATTGAATGAAGAGTAGCTAAGTGATTATTTTTGTTTCTTATGCAACAAAATTCTCAGTAGACTATAATAGTTACAAGCTAACATACTGCAAACGTTTTACACTGTGGTCACCTCCCTCCTTGAAACTGGCATACTCAAGTCTCTGGAACCGTGCTGATATGGGCACCTAACCAATGTTTATTCACACGTAAGCTAAGAAAGTTGTACAACCGAAATTATTTGTACTGTGTATTTTTCTATTGTTGACAATATGCAACAACTACCTCTGGCTTGTTTCCTATCACTCATCCGTAAGTATTTTATAAGCGGTTATTTTTTTAATGTTCGATTCGTTCTATTATGCTAATGTGTCGGTCTGTTTGTCTTCGCAATAATTTCGAAAACTAGCACAGGAATTTTCATGCGGTTTCTCCAAAGAACGTGGTTAGATATTCTAGTTATAGGTATGTATAATTAATTGAAGTTTTGAGTTAATTTGCTGAAATATGTCGAGGGAACGATATTCAATTAATGTAAATTTAAGATAACAACATAAAAAGAAATCTCGACATCTAATAATTCTATACTAATATTAAACAGAGGTAAAGTCTAACTTTGTTTATTTGTTTGTTAAGAGAACTGCTGATCCAATCATGAAAATTCTTTCACCTACGGAAAGCTACCCTATAGGGTACAATTTACAAGGGCAAGTCGCGAGAATACAGATAATAGTTAATATTTAAACATCAATATATACTTCACTCGAATCCAAAACCAAGAAGCTGAATTATGCATCTTATTTAATTGTTTTTTTTTTTGTTGGTACAAAGCGTTTTTTTTGGTCCTTTGGGAAACCCTGATTTGGTGGGCTACAAAACAAAAAGGTTGAGAAACGTCGCCTTAGAGAGAACATAAAACTATTATTGAAAATTATGAAATCATTTCTTCGCACCAAATAGCCGCTATACGGAGCGTAGCCGTTTGTAAGTGTTGATGCAACCTGCCACTGTCTTCAAATATGTACAGACAGACACAAGCTAACTGAAAAAAACTATAGCAGCAGTTATTAAATTAACTCTGAAATAAATCTTTATGTACTGTGATAATTTAATTGAATCTTTTTTTATAGAAAATAAAATATGAAAGCCATTACCTGCGTAGTTTGCTCCAGGGTTGTCTCTTTTGAATTAATATTTTTTTGAAGCACATGACTACGATTCGCACTTAGTTTGATTCAGTTCGACAGAACCTTTTACAGATAATTTTCAAAATCAACCCCCAAATCTCAAGTAATTTGTAGATCTCTTAATGACGTTATAATGATAATATTAAAATCTAATTAAGATTTCAATTGAGGTTTTGAACGGTTATATCCCAGTCAATTATTTATTATTAAGTCATAACTTCTTGCAAATTTTGTTAAGATAACATATTAAGTACATATTGTATTGACGTCATAAAAAACTGTTTATTTCCTATGTGACTTGACAGCCCTAAGCGTAGTAACCTTTCCCAGAGTAACACATAACTGCTGCATAATATCCAGGTTTCCCAGCACACTGGTACCTCGTCAGGCGACAATATTGCGTAATCATTATAATTTATGTAGTTGTTTTGGCATGTGTAATTAACATAATTTAGAATAAGATCCAACTAATTAAAATAATACTAATGTCACACCGTGAATCTAAGCTTGCGAAAAACAAATTAATCTTGTTATCACATTGATTAAAATACGCTCTATAGTAGCAAAAAAAGTAACAAGTGCTTGAAAAATTCGTCAGTCCTGTTAGGTCCTGGGTAGCTTAATGGTTAGAGCAGTCGCTTGGATTGCGAAAGGTCATGGGTTCGAGTCCCATCTCAGAGTACCAGGGACCAAGTGGATTGTTTTAAGTGTTTTTCATTGAGAATAATAATCTTGTTTTAATAAACATAATAATTTGCCGCGTTTCGAAATTCAACCTTCTGCACACATGTATGTATATCGATGGATCATATAAATTGTATCGAGTATATCGTAAATATGTAATTTGACTAAATATAAAATAAAAATGAATCGAACTATTGAACTAATTCGGCTATATTTATTTCATTTTAAATTTAATCAAAACCCTATAAAAGGCTGTAACAAGATAACAAAATTATACAACATTAAACATAACATGCACTCGGAAGCATGCACAAAGAGAGAATTATTTGACTAATTATTTAATTTCATGCCTCCGACTACAGTTTATGTATGATGTTGCATAAATTCTTTATCTTGTTCCAGCCTTTTCAGTAACTTGTAGTTGTTTTTCAGGCGGTTATTTTGTTTCTTTTTTATTATAATTATATTTATGTCTTTTTAGCTAGACAAATTACCAGGTTGGTTCAGAAAGTGAAAGAACCAAGTTCATATTTTTAGACTTTATATTTTTTTTTTTACTAATATATCACGGTAATACAATAATCATAACATACCTTTTTGGAATCCTTGTATTAAGCTCTTTAATTTGATACCGATATTGTAGTATTTCAAACAAACAAAAAAATATCATTAAATATAAGTGATCGCACAGGCGTCATAATTGATTTTTTTTTACGTTACCTAAATAATAACACTTGGCTACTAAGACAAATCTAACGATACCTCTGTTTGTTATCTAAATCCGTTCAGCGCTTCTGAAGATATGAGGCAGTAAAGAATATTATATACATACAAACAAGATACGCGCGAAAAACATAACTCTTCCTTTGCAGCAGGGTAAAAAGTTATTATGGAGAGAAACAATGAGAGGAAATGACATCAAAACAGTAACAACATCAAATTTCCTATAACTCAATCACGGAAATCTTATATGGGATAGTACATATTTATCTGTCTATCCAATCGCTCATTCTTGGACCTCAAAACTATTGGACCTATTGAATTTTAATATAGGTCAAAAACGAACATATTTTGCAAAAAATAAAAATATATACCGCCTTGTTTAAACTTCATTTCTTAAAGAGAATATTACAAAATTCAAAGGAGTTTTGTGAAATAAATCGTGTGTCATATCAGTTGATCAGATTTTGAAGTTACGATCTCATTACTTAAAACTACAACAACGGTATCAGAGTAACATAAAAAAGGACATTATTTTGGAATAACAAGAACTGACTAAAAATAATGTGTTATTTAAATCAAAATTTGAGATCTGCAGGAATAATTCGCTGTATCAAGTCACTACGTTTCCGATTTTATTATATTTTAGCATTCAAATGTGCAAGCACACACAATGATATCATATATCCTATACGAGTATGTAACATAAATATCGAATCGAGATTTTAAAGGTATAAATACATGTTAAAATATTTTCTTTTTGTTATATTATTATTACTCCCATCTCAGAGTTCCAGGGACAAATTGCATTTTTCATAAAGAATATATTTTCTATTTCTTAACTATTCCGTGTTTACAGCCCTATGTCGTAATAGTGATGTTCCATTTTGAAATATATTTGGATTTATTGCTGATTCGCGGTGAGCTTTGGAGCGACCGCAGCACGCGATTCTACGTTCCGTTACACCAATTGTCCATTGTTCGTTACATTACATAATCAGTGATCAGTTTGCGATTGGTGTAACACGGAAGATGTAGGCTAAACCACGTTTATGTAAATAGCTTTAAAATAATTTCTAAAACTTACGAATGCCATAATGCCATCACCAAACATGTGAACATAATTAAATAGATGTTCACAAGTGCGGCACGGGCATTCAATACCTATTATCGCATATTTTAACAACAAAAGTGCATTCTACCATTCCGTGTTCTTTAAAGTATATCAAATGGATATTTGTGTGACTTGTATATTTTTTAATAATAGTTATTTAATGCGCAACAGTTTTTTAATAATAAAAAACTGTAGGTTTAAAGGAAGATCGAATCTTTGCCAAAAACTTAACGATCAATTCATTTAGGTCCATTTTTTTTCAAGAAAAGAGTAACATTATACTATTTCACTTGGAAAACAACATTAATACAATACGTCACTTGATTGCACAAAAACTAAAATATAATAGCAACCGAATCATGTGCCTTATTGATCAAATTATTAACTTGTAATTCTGAAAGAGATAGTTTGAGGTGTAAACGTCAAAGTAACATTTTGATTTGTTTTTATGTTACAAAAGTATCATTTTGGTAACGCTTATTGAATTAACGTTAGACGAAGCGAAGCTAGCGCCATGTTAGCGAAAGAATATACTAAATAAATGAACGTCTTCGCGGCTTTCAAATCAGCCGTCTTGTTGAACGGTCCAACACCAGTCGTCCAATTGAATGGCGCCACTCGATGAAAGGACTAGCCTCTCAATTAGACTGCTGTTTTAACCAGTTCGTTGTGACATACTATATATTTCAAACCATTTGTAAGTCGTCCTTTGTAGTACTGAAATAAATCAAACATGATAATATTTGACAATTCCAGGTCCCCCAGGAATATCATTCGAGGACAGCTACCTACAGATATTACCACTGGATAAAGCCAAATGTCCATTCGTAAAGGACCAGGGTGATGTCACATTTAGATTATATACAAGGTATGTACTGCATAAAGCTAAAAATAATTTTATTATCTCAGACAACTGTAATTAAGAAGGGGTAAACTATTAAAAAATAAAATTATAAAAAATAGGTCACCGTATCAGAAGTTCAGGTTCTCCGGAGGCCAAAATTCTATTATCGAAAATGTAATTTATTATGCAAAGTGTTAAGACCAGACATTGCCTCTGATGTACAAGATCTTCACGGATGATATTAACAAAATTATAAGAATTATTCGAATTTTCCGAGGTCTTGGACAAACAGAGTAATCTCTCAAGAAATTGAACATCGCAAATGAATTTGTGCGGCCATTCTAATAGTGATCGTGGATAGCTAAGCAAAAGTTTTGAAAAGGACGTTAAATATAAGTTTAAAATCATGATATCCTTGCTGGTGAACGCTAGGGCTGAAAGCTTGTTTATTATTCAATAGAATCAGTCGTTATCTTGAGAGATCCAACTTTACAACTGAGAATAGTTTCACGGATGTAAAGTCACGTCGTTGCACAAGCATCCATTATAATTGTCATTACTTTAAAGCGACATTACCGGTAAAATTTTTAAAATTTAGAACATTAATTAGAGCTTAAAGTCGTTCAACAAACAATGGTCGTTTGTGCAATGGAACAAGACAGACTGTGCACTTGTCTATCGCCCGCGTGGTCCTATATTCTACATAAAAACCTTCCTTATGAATCATTCTCAAATCTATTACGTTGTTTTAAAGATCTAAGCATACCTAGGGACAACCAAACGGAAAGCGACTTTCGGTCAGTTGCACAAACTTCCCTTAAGGTTTAATGACGCCTTTAAGCTCTAATGAATGTCAAATTTGTATGGATATTGTCCCTTTAAATTAATGAAGATTTTAATGGACGTTTGTGCAACTGGCCGTTTGTTTTTTATTTTTTCAGACACAACCCCTTAATATTTCAAGAGCTGAAGATAGGTGACGACGAAAGTATGTTCGCGTCTCACATGAACTTCCACGATCCAACTGTTATATATTTCTCGGCGTTCTTAGAACAGCCCGACGACGGTAGCGGTCTACAAGTTAGAGAATGTGAGTATTTTTTAACAGGGTGAATAACGCAATTATTTTTTAGTAATCCGATTACAATTAATCCGAAACATAAATCAAGGAAATAACAAACACAAATAAGATGATACTGGGTTGATAATAGTTGCTATAGATTTATTTAATAATTTTTATTTAATAAAGGAGAACTTTTTTTGTATGGAGGCTGGTACTTTATTCAAATAGGGAATATGCACATCTTTGGAAAATGTTTTTATATGATAATTTACATCGATATATAACTGTAAAAAAGTACCCGGCACTTTTTAATTAAAATTTTTAATTTATGTAGCAACACATAAGTGCATTAAGAAAATCTATGGCAACCCAAACCCTAAGTTACGTTAAAATTCATGGTGTGAATTAATCTATTTGGACAATGCGGAATCATTATTTTTATTTGCTATTCATTATTGTTATAAATGTCAAATACTGAGATATTTTAAACGAATCGAAACTCGTCAACGCAGATTAGGCCCGGTCAACGCAGATTTAAGTCTATTCGGTGCGTTGCTTATTATAATAAATTCATAAATAACAAATTATGAATTCGATTTTCACAATATTGATATATTATTCATCTACTAGGGACGCTAAGTTATTATAAGGTGCTTTGGGGTAATTGCTGGCAGATAATTCAGGGTATCATTTTGATATATCAAGATCAGCCTGAATGATCAAAATGGTAGATTATTATAAAAAAATTTAAATACTTATTTTTTGCGTAATCAATAAATGAAATGAAATGTCGCATGATGTCACACTTTTGTACATATTCTACAAAACTGTGACGTAACGAGCCCCCAACTTTAATGACTATTATCTGAGGCATTTCTTGTTTAAATTGGAACAAAATAAAATGCATAGCTAATATTTTCAATTATCTGACTGACGGACTAAATAGAATTTCTTTTTTTTTACCTAGTCGTTATCCATATAAGGACAGTTAACCGGTATATCAAAATGAAGCCCTTAATTTTATCTGGAAAATAAGGGCAGTTATCCGGTGTGCCACATCCCACCTGTCGCTCGCTAGGTGGCAGGAACTGTGTTTAAAACTTTTCCCCGACGCATAAAAAAGGGCAGATAACCGGCGGAGCCGCTGACCTGACAATTGACACTTAAAAGTATCTAACTGTTTGTGAATAACTATAAAAAAATATAGTATTATAAGGTATTGATAACTCGACTCCAGAGGTTGAATCTGGTAATAACAAGGATGGAGTTTTTATTACTCCCGACTTCCTTCCATTCACAGCTTACATGCTACGTGGCGACACGAACTTTATAATTCTGGACTTGAGCCGTTTGGAAGCCGGCCCTTGGTACTTCACGGCTGCAGAGAACACTTGGTACATCGGAAATTACGCCGCAAAGTTTATAGACTATTTGGTCTCCAGGTAAATGAAGAAAAGATGAGAAAAAAGATATATCTATCTTTTATATATTTCTTACAGCTAAATAAATATCATCATAAATAAAAACATTTAATCTACAAGTCATAAAAAAACCAGTTAAAATAAAACTTTTTACATCGTAACATTAATAAGGTTATATATTTATAGACGAAAGGACGACGCTGTGTTCGCACGCTGTACGAACATATTAACTACATTTACCAGTACGCGTTGTGTGAAGAAATTTGAGAAACGTTTTCTCCTACATCCAAGTGTATATTTACTCGATTGCGTCCATACAACGTCTCATTGTCGATCTAAAAAGTGACATTTGGCTGTAAAGTTTATAGATGTCTGCAGTATCTAAATATTTGTGTCACACGTGACATAATTTTATCACAGAGCGCAGCGGCCAGTTTTTTTTTATTCTAATTTTTTTATGGACTTTTGAACTTAGTGTTCAAAATAACAAAATATAAGATCTATTTCTATGGAAACATAACTTTGTATACAATTTTGAATAACATTCTAGCTACATCCGACAACGGATATGCTAAGATACTTTGAAAATCACCTATGTCATTGTAATTAAGATTAAAAAGTAAATTATTCCTTTCTGATTTATTCTTAACACATTCTGCAGCGGATTCGTCTACGGATTACTAGATAGCGTTATGCGCCAATGAATATGTTATTATTATATAAATAAATAATTATATAATAATAAAATTTATGAGTACATAATTCCAACTAAAAATATATTTTTAAATATTATCCGTCTTTAATGTTATAGAGGATTGGATTTAAAGAAGACTCATCTAGTGGGACACAGTTTGGGAGCTCAATCTGCCGGCGTTGCTGGCTCCGCACTTAAATCAGGTATATGGCTGATTAAAAAATCAACACAATTTAGTTCAACTCTCTATACTCCAAAACTTATTTGCATAATAGACTTGGTATAATTTTTTTGACGAACATTTATAAGGCAAAGTATTAATCATAATAAGGCATAAAAAGTATTAATCATATTTTCCAATTGTCCTATGTTTGTTCATTTGAATGAACATACTATTATGGCGGCATTTCTTTAGGCACTACCTTTGGTAAATTTTATTTTAGCATGTTTTGTTAAGTTTAAAGAATCAATCAGTTGGTTAGGTTAAAACTATGTTCGTATATTTTGCTTTTTTTGAGGATAGTTCGGAAGGTTTGTGCGAGCATTGCACGTTTTCGTCCTTGTTTATCCTAAATATCTACCCCAACACGCAGAGAAAGCCCTCAGGAAACCGAAATGGAATATTCTAATAGTAACACCATCAATGGTATTTTTTTAAATCGACCTCCATTAGTAAGTGCCTCGTACTCTGATTGACATCTTTGAGATCTCGGGTTCGATACCCGGTTGTTTCAATATATAAAATGAACATAATCAGCTCGGGGTGTGCTGGCACACAGCAACACAAGACGTAAAAGAAAGCCACCTTTTTTAAAGTAGGGAAAATGCTTGCCAGGCGGCAGCGTCGAGGTTATGTGGAACTGCCTTTGTGGGTCCATCCAGCGAGTATTCGCTCAATGGACCTACAGAGGCCTACCTACTAAGAATTCTAGAGTGTACCCTTATGTGGGAGGATGAGGTCCAGATAGCACAGTTACCATCCATTCATTTTGAATTCATCATCCATTTTGAAATTAACAATAATAATAATATTATTATTATTCCAGCCAATAATTAAAAATTCAAAATAAAAAAGGAACCTTCTATATCCTTTATGCCCTGTTGACTGCAACTTCGATGTTTCACTTTCGGTTTTACGATTTACAGATATTTATATAAAACTTTAAAAACCAGTTCTATTGTTTCGAAAATGTTCTTCTGGAATTTGTCTATTTATCGTGTGCAATAACGTATATTTATTATTATGTGTGTAATATGTTTAAGGTCGTGTATCGCGTATCACCGGCTTAGACCCTGCGTTCCCGTTATTCGACAAGCTCCCGTTGATTCAAAGGCTGGACCCGACAGACGCAGATTTCGTGGACGTCATACATACAGACGCCGGCATATTCGGTAATTTTCCAAAACTTCTAGCAAGTTACCAAACAAATACTAGTGATAAGGAGCTTCAAGGTGCTAGGTTGTGTCTTAAACATTTATCGCGGGAGACTAGCATCGCTCTTATCAGTCATTCATCCGCATCCGTCTCGAGTTTTGTGTTCTTCTAATCGCTGTTTTCAAAGAACGACGGGTACCCAATGTACTGAACGTTTTGAAAAAACTTTTAAATTCTTCTATCTATATTTATTTTATTTTATCTATATTTTATATCGGTCAAGGAATCAATCAACAGTTAACTGAATCGAAGATTTTGCCTCCAGGTTTCAACAGACCGACAGGTCACGTAGACTTTTACCCGAACGGCGGCATCAGTCCACAGCCGGGATGCGAACTGGAGATCGTATTACATGATCCACGGTTATTCAACAAATGTAAGTAACCAATATATTTACATCGCTCCACCCAAACCAATTTATCTATCCGCCGTGTCAATTTAAGACGGCAGTGCCATTACTGTACTGTACATACTTATGATGGCGGCTGTGGCAACTCTATCAGGTACGGGCGGATCATGTTAACTGACGTAGCATTCTAGTACGGATTTGCCATTTCCAAAGTCTACACTATTAATTCAGTCAGATGACAAGCTGAGTATACAAAATTACGTGTATAACAGGTTGCCGTCTGTCCATGGCAAGTGACATGTCCATAACATGGACATATTTGGCTTAATTTGTCCATCCTGTACGGCTTTTTGGTAGTTCAACGCAGCGATCGTAGCACCTGCAGAACGAATGCTAACTATACAAAAAATGAAGTACCCAGTGATGTGTGATTAAAAAAAGAACCGTCACTTCTAAATCATATAAAAGTTATGACCAAAGTTAAAAATACACATCCGGTGATATTTAAGCTGTTAAATAATGATAAGTACGGTTTTTAGAGCAAAATATCCGGCCTTAAACAGCGTAGAATCAGGTTTTTTTTATTTTAGAAGTCGGCAGCCCTATTTGCAACATTGCCGCCCAAAAACTAAAGCCTACTTCCCTCTCTATCTAGTCTTCTGCAGTCACTGGCGATCATACCAATTCTACAGTGAATCAGTCATTCGACCTAAGGCTTTCGTTGCCACTTCATGTGACTCCTGGCGTCACTACAAGAGCGGTTACTGTGCGAGAAGGAATAGCACACATATGGGATACGGGGCAAATCCGACGTAAGCCTTATGTTCATAATAATAAGGCACGGTTTTAGTTAGCACCATTTCCGTATGATTGCACTACATGTTTTAATGTTGGAGATTGAATTTTATCACGCAAATTTTAATTGCAAATTTATATGAAAAACAGATAACAAAAATACCAGCACTATACGATTCGCTTGAGATTTTTAGAGGCACATTTGAAGCAAACCCTTTATTAACATAACAAACCCTTTATGTTACGAAACATTAAAATATTGTTAAATAAGTAAGTGTCGTATAATGCTTTTAAATATATAACATGTTTATTATTTATATTTTTGGCAGATTAGAGAAAAACACGTCATTACGCTAATCGTAGGGCTTGTATTTCTATAAAAACTGAATCGAAGATTAAAAACCTCATCTATTCATAAGCTTGTCTGCAATATTTCAGGTGATGGCAACGCACAACTGCACGGCTATTTTATTTTCACTTTGGAAATGAAAAAAGATACTAAATTTGAACAAAACATACTACAATTCTTCACACTCATCAATGTACTAAAGAAGAAAGTGAGCGAAAACACAGAAAATATCAAATCAACGACAGACTTCGAGACATACAATATAAACAAACACAACAAAAATCATAAACAAGTCAATAACAAGAAAGAACATTTTCTAGACACAACAAATTTTAGAGACGAAGAAGTTAAAACAGTATTATATAATATTAATCACAAAAGAGACAAACGCATAAGCTTCATCGGTGATAACGATATAAAAGACACCAATAATACTCTAAGAAAATCTACCAAACATATCGCAAACACAGACGCACACAAAGAAACAAATGACAAAACCAATAAAGGAAAGAATATAAATAAAAATAAGGAAGTTAAAATAAAAGTCTTCGATACTAATAACAAAAAGGATAAATATCTAAGTTTTATTGGTGATAATAAAATTGACGCTAGTATCTATTTAATAAATACTACAAAAACTAACACAGATAAGGACGCAAACAGAAAAGATGAAACACAAACTGATGACACTTCTAAAAAAGTTGTACAACAAAACACAGACACAGACGTCAAAGAAACACAAACCCCTAGAAGACACAAAAGATTTATATCGTTCTTCAGAAACGTTAACGACGATAATTTCCTATTCAAAATACTAGAGTTCTTAATGAGGAACAGACGGAATATACTGCCAGTGGTGACTGTGATGAGAGAGATCAACACATTAGTGAAAAATGGTAACGGAGAACTGAGCCATTTTACAAAAGAGAGAAACAATTATATAGGAGCGAACCCGCCACTGATACCTATTACGTACGACTTGCAAATAGGTGACGAGTCTAAATTGACCGCTTTCGTTAAGAGACTGCTGGGTTTGGCCAGCAAAGGTGGAAAATTGACTGTTAATGGAAGCGGAAAATAAAGGTAATCTAATGTATCATCACCAGCCCTTTTTACGTCCCCACTGCAGGGGCTCAGGCCTTCCTTATGGATGGTTAAGGAGGATGGGCCATGACCCTCCACGCTGGCCCAATGCGGATTGGAGGGTATTAACGACTGCAAATGCAGCCGGGACCAACGGCTTAACGTGCCTTCCGAAGCACGGAGTAGCTCGAGATAATAATTTTTGGTCACCCATCCCGTGACCGACCCTTGCGAAAGTTGCTTAACGATTACGATCGCGGGCCGCGGCGCTTATCCACTACGCCACCGAGCTACTCTAATGTATAATGAATCATATTCACTTTCCTTACATTGAGTCAATTTTAAAGATCGTGTCTATCTTCACTGATACCATTGTTGATAATCAAGAATTCGTTTTTCTTTTAAATAGGAGAATAAACTAAGCTTAACATATCTTTTAATCTGAAGGGCCGGGAAATGCGTAATTTTTAAACAATGTTTTGTGGTTATAGCAGCTGTCAAAACGCGAGGTAATTGTCAAGCTAGTTTAAAATCTAACACATTAAAATGAAATTGTTAATTAGATTTTAAACATTCGTAGAACATATGAAAAGTAGCAAGCTGCCATTGCACGGCCCGAATCATATTCTCGTAGTTGTCGTGAACTTTTAAAAATAATTAACAGCTCCGCAATTATTTCATGGCACTTAACTATGCGCTATAAAATAAATTAAAAAAATATATATTTCAAGAGATGTCACATCATCAGACATGTTTTCTAATTTTGAGATCAAAATTGGACATGATTCTTCAAGCGTTCGCATTGACACGCACACACACACACACACACACATACGCGTATCCACTTCTTGTCCATTAAACTTTATCAGATAACTAACAGCTTTAGTTACCATCCTTGATCTATGATATTAATAAAATGAGTAATGTCAATGTTAATAAAAGAACGAAAATTATATTTTCAGATCCCGTGGAGTATTCTTCCTGATGACGAAACGCCAGTCGCCATATTCTATTGAATAAGTAAAAAAAAATAGTTGCAAAATTTCTTAATTATTTATAAAAGTAAAAACTTAGATAATTATATAAGCTAAAATAACATCATAAGAAAATTTAAGTATCTAAATTAAGAGAAAGAAATCAAATAATTGAATAAATCTATGAATTGATCAACGTGATGGAAATAAAAAAAATCCTATTGTGAGATAAACGGTTGGTTGCACAAACGTTCATTACGGTTTAATGACCCTTTTAAGCCCCAATGAATGTCAAATTTGTATCGGTAATGTCGCTTTAAACTAATAAAATTTTTAATGGACGTTTGTGCACCTGGCTGTATGATCTTTTTTCGTCGATAATAACAAAATAAACTCATGTAAAAGAACTTAAATGTTAAATTCTGTGTGTATTTGTTTCTATCCCCAATAGAACATCGTTATAGTATGATTTATTTTTGTATAGATAGGTTAAGGTGCTATTTTAACCGCGTAAAAACTTAGATATCGACGGTTAAGAATCGATAGAATTCATCTTAATATTTCGCTCATTCTACTTTTTAAACCAATGCATTTAAAGTCCAATTTAGCATAGGATTTAAAAGTTTCTATCGATATAAAAAACATTTTCCTTTATTCACCTTATGAACGATTTAAAAATATCTGATAACTTATTATCTGTAGTAACCTCAAACGTTTCTTTTATCTACTGTAAAATATATTAAATTTTCTTTTTGAGATGGACACTAGTAAAGCTTAACCGTAAAAGCGAAGGCGCGGGTGACAGTTACGAAATACAATTCAATACAAAATAATTTTGTAATGTAAATTACACAATTAAAACTATTATATGACAATTGGCCTATTAGTATTAGTGTATAAATTATAACGATTGGAAATGTAATAATTCAAATAAATTTAATATAAAATAAATATTCCAATAGTTTGTTCTAAACGTTTATGACAATGATAATAATAAATAGTAATAAGTATTCTTAATAAAAAAATATGTTGTGGTTTTACGGTCAATTGCACAAACATCCATTAAGATTTAATGACGCTTTTAAGCTCTAATGAATGTCAAATCTGTATTGGTAATATCGTTTTAAACTAATGAAAATTATAATGGACGTTTGTGCAACTGGCCGTTAATTAAGAATATTTTTCAGTATAGCATTGTGAATACAAAATTGATGAAACATAATAATAAATATTTTTTATTTGTTTTAATTTGACTGACTAATAGAATTTCCTTTTTTTTATCCAGACATCACGCCTATTATCCATTCTCCAATCATAACATGAATTAAAAATTGAAGAAGTTTTTTGTGACCGATCTAACCGCCTAAATATATGTGTAAAATAATATAAAATTATCAGTATTTTCTACTCAAAGCTCCATCACTTACATTACTCGCTTTCCTGACATTAATAGCTCTTATAATATTAAGCACTGACCTGTACATATGGTGGTGATGTAGTAAAGAGCCAAGTACTAGCGAATGCAGGTACACGGGTTTGATGAATCGCGACAGCAACGCCCCCTGGAGGCCCACTACGCACCAGCGGGCAACTTTATCGGAACACGACATAGTTAGAAGCCGCTCGCCCTGCGTACAAATAAACGATAATATTATTAACAGGGTTCGCAAAAATACTATAACTATAGACATAAAAGTGAATCCTTATTTCCCTTGGTCACGCCATCATAAGTGAACGGCTGGAGGAATTTCGCTAATTTTTTGTTGTGTTTGGTAAAGTTAGGAGAAAGTTCTTATAAAAAAAAAGTTGTCTGATAAGAATAAGAAAATTGTCTGGAGTATTGAAAATTTTGACCATATAAAACTGGGCTTAAGAAACTGGGCTTAAGAAGCATTTCCTTAATTGTCAGTGCAACATAGAAGGCTGTCGTATACCGTAACTTATCATCAATGGTTTTGTAAAATTTGTGATATGATTCAAATGGATATTTATAAATTAATTTAATTTGTTATTTTATGTATTATTTTGTTTGTTATTTCGATTGTATTGGACAATTTCTAAATCATAATACACAACACACATTTAGAAAAATTCACTTGGGATATTCTTATGTTCTGCTTTGCACTGCGACGTTTTAACATACTTTAGTCTTATAAATAACAACTCACGCGCAACTATTAGCCTCCGTCTGAAAATCAGCGTCATGACGATAAGAGTTTTGTCGTCGTGATATATGCTGAGCCGGAGACTTTTTCTCCACTGTGGCACAGCTTATTAGCCAATATAGTTTCTTTTTAATGATATCGTTATTGCTTTTGTATAATACTGTGCAACAATGTGGGAAATAAACTTTTTATTATTATTATTATTATTATTATTATAAAATTATATCTAATCTAACCTTAGTGCTTTGTATAATATAAATATATTTTTTTAATGTACCCTTATGACGTTTCTTATAAATTTGACAGAATACGTGTTGTAAATATCGTCAAATAGGATGTAAAAAAACTGTTGGTATTCAACATTCATAATTAAGACGGGATAGCACCTGTCGGGTCAGCTAGTTTATAATAATAAATATCAAAGTATATGATATTTATCCGATATATGTTGGATATATATCATGCATATAAAAACCTGTCATTTTTGAGCTGCTAGTGGCGTGATTTATTATTTGTTTATGCATCATGAAATAATTACAAAGTAGTATGCGTGCGAAGATTTCTAGTAACGTAAAGGAGAAAATCCGAAATTTCTAGTAAGAAAGATTACTACTTTATCTAATGTTAGACTTTAAGATCTACATGAAGTACAATGGAAAACGCAAGTAGCTAAGATTCTAAGTCCGTACAATAAATGAATATTTCCTATGTGTAGCATTTGACTTGGAAAAAAACAAATCACATAAGATTTCATTATTTTTAAAATTCAGGCCATCATATGACGTCATACATATTGTAAACAAACAAACGTCAATGCCACTTCATTTAGCACCGAGTGCTTTAAAATATTTTTCTTTATGATAAATTAACATCATATGCGATGTTGTACAAGTTTTTTACAATTAATAAGCGTGTTTTACCTGCATAACGCCGTCCCAAGTCTGAACCAGGTTATTACAATTCTTGACAGGAATTGTCCCTTCACCGGATTCAATCTTTGTCCTCAGCTGTCCGCGAGCTAACCTGTTAACATACACTACTATCAATTAACACTCGAAAAGAATAACATTAGAATTATAATAACAATTAAAAATTATTATTTATTATAATGGTAATTTAATTATGAATTAGTTTTCATTCGTAAAGCAGTTTTAATTAGCAATCAAATTGTATATAATTAGAATACTAGTATTTTATAACTACGTAAAGTAAATCTCAATTATAATAACGCATGGACGAATTTAGCTTTTTAAACAAGATTAATTTTAAATTTCATCGTACGTTCAATAATCGTCGGCATTGGATACTCTGCTTTGCGCAAATGGACGAGGTAACTATGTACCAGGGCTCTCAAAAATCATATAAATATTAAAATATCCGATATATCGGATATAAATCAAGCATATGTATGGAAAGCTGCGTTTTTCGAATTGCCAGTGGCTTTATATGATAAAATAATAAAAAAGTGAAAGTCACTTTTTAATTTTTAATAATTTAATAAATTTATCTGCTTAACCATTAATGTTTTTCGTAACGATAGGGAGGATTATTGATGCACCTTAGACTACTCAATTTTCAATTGTATCCTGTATATCATGTTAAGGTTGCCTGGAAGAAATTGCTTTTTAACAATAAGGCCGCCGATTGTACTGTTTGTTACATTATTATGTATTGCTCATTTACTCATAGTGTGTACAATAAAGAGTCTTACATTCACTGATTCATTGATAATGCGTGCGAGGATTTCAAGTATCATATAGGGGGAAAACCCGAAATTTCTAATAAGTAAGATTGAGACTCAATACTCAAACTAACAATAACTATTATAAATATCAGTTGATATATATCAACGTATATATCAATCGATATATATCCAGCGAACCCTGCTAAGTACCATATTAATTAGAATTTACTGTAGTCTGTACATACCGGTTGGGATGTCTGTCCGGTTCCGGTTCCGGTTGCTCGTGCGGACTGAATATCCGACTGTCGCCGCAAGGCGCGGTAGACACGTACAGGTGTATCTGTCTGTCTCGCTTCAACTGGTAACCGCCGCCCATCGCCGGCTCCAAGTCCGAATCCGGTATAGAAACGGTTGGATCTACATAAGAAAACGTTATAAGGAACTTCTGTAGCTCAATTAAAATTAAACGATACCATGTATTTTTTTAAATAATGATTGTAAAATACACAATGTAAATTATTTTAATATCTATTCTGTGAGATGTAAAACAAAAATATATTTTACATAATTTTGAAAGAAATTGTTTAAAAGTTATAAATCTTCTCCTTTAGTTATTTCCCAAATTAATATGCCTAAAATCATGAAAAAAAAAATCTGAATTAAAATAAGTTATAATACAGAAAAACCTATAAAGCTGTGTTTTTTTTTAATTTAATGTGTGTAAGAAACTCTCAGTGGGTCGCTCTCTATTTATAGATACTAACCGGTAGAAGAAGCGTACATCAACAGTTGGGCATAGAGATGTCGCTGGAGACATCTTCTCGCTGCCACCTGCACAAAGATACAATCAACAACATATTAAAATGAAGCAAAAAAAATGATAATTTAGCGCTTGATAATACTTTAAAAAATTATGCACAAAAACGAACCGGACAGGTTACAATTACAGTTACAAATAAATGCTCAAGCTTAGGAGGCAATATTGATATCTGGCACAAAATCGAATTAGATATATTCTCTATATTAAAATTATGAAGAGGAAATATTTGATTTAACAATCAACGAAACTTTGTAACTTTGCAACGAAAACGCTCCAAAACTATTGGACCAATTTTTAAATTCTTTCATCTACGAAAAGTTACATCATACGCAGTGGACATAGGCTATATTTTATCTCAAAAAACACCAATTAAAGGGATGAATATGGATGCTTGTATAAAGAATTAGAACGTTGCCATAGTAACCATGATTTACTATTCAATTTGTAAATGATATGAAACCTTATCGAAATGAATTATTCTAAGACTGGATTAACATATGAGTTACTTTTATCCCACTAAAGTTTCCTAGGAATCAAGAGGGCGAAGCCACTGGCGGAAAACTGGTTTATCATAAGTAAACGCTAGAGTTAAGGAAGAAAACACATCTGTACTATTATTATAAATAGGTAGAACAAAGCCGGCCTGACCATATAGGTGAACTACGGCCAAGAAAATACTACAGTTCCTTGTAGAATGTAATCTTGACCGTGAACTGTAGTATGTGGAGATCACAATAGATCAGCAATGGTCGCAGTGATACTGGGCTGCATAAACCCAAGATAATCCGCAACTCGAAACAATAACAATAGGTGAACTAGGTAACTGCCTAGGTTGTTCGAATTTGGTGGGGCGCTTGGCAATCTGTTTACTCGTATATTATATATACATTTAGAAATTACTTTTTAAATCTTTGCCCATGAACCCACGTTCGCGGTTAAATGTCTACGGCCCAGAACTCCGCCACTTTTACGGCGCTATCTGCAGCCGTCATGAGATCCTCCTGCGTACAGGTGTAGGGGCAAGCGGGGCAACATATCAGGTGTGGAGTGGTCTGAGGCGTAGTACCACACCTGCACGCAAGGTCTGCAGTATTAGTAAAACCCCACCTGGACCGATTGTCTTTACTCCGGCCAACCTGAGTGCGGAGTCTATTTAAAGATTTCCACACCGGTCTGGGGAGGTCGTAGCCAGGCGGGAGTTTCTCCTGGATTGGCACAAACGGGGAAGGCAAAAGGGCGGAACCCAACCACAGTTCACGCCTAGCCAAAGAGGCCTCGGAGTTGATAGGCTCGGTGCACTTGTAGAAACTATTGCGACTCTTCAGCCTTTTAGGGACGGACGAATAGCGATGCATAGGGTGCCGCGGGTCGGAATCAAGCTTGGCCCTTTCGATGGAGCTTGCTATGGCCCTGCGAACATATGGTGGAGCAATTCCAGCCAGCGGGTACAGCATTTGCACGGGAGTCGGCTTAAGACAACCTGTTATAATGCGGCATGTGTCGTTTAGTGCTGCATCCACCCGTCTTGCGTGGGCAGATCGGTTCCAAACAGGACACGCGTACTCTCCCGAGCGCTAGTCCAGTCGTCCGCAAAACCCCAGGCGACGCACCCCAGTGGCTATTCGTCAGTTTTTTCAGGAGATTGTTTCGAGCAAATACATTTTGACAATTCTTCCTGAAAGTTAGCGACCTATCGAGTGTGACTCCGAGATATTGGGGGTGGTCATCGTGAGCTATACGGATCCCGCGCCACACAATATCCATCTCACGTCCCGCCTGTCGATTACGTAGATGAAAGAGACATGACTTAGTCTTGGCTGGGTTTGGCTTCAAAGCATTCGCTTCATAATAAAGGTCAAGGACTCCAAGTGCCTCAGCCAGATTTGCCTCAACTTCCTCAAATGATGTTGCTTGTGAGGTGAGGGCCAGGTCATCAGCATACAGAAAGCGAGACGCGCCAGGGTACAGAGGCTGGTCGTTAGTATAAATGTTGAAAAGCATAGGAGCCAGCACACTGCCCTGAGGCAGCCCATTCTTTTGGCAACGCCAGCGGCTTATATCTGACCCCAGGTGAACCCGGAAGCGCCGGTTATTTAAAAATTCTCCCAGAACATTAACAAAGTTCAGATCTTTGGTAACATGGCCCACTTTCCACAAGAGCCGCTTCAGGTTCACTGTATCGTAAGCCGCTGAGAGGTCGACAAAGACGGCGCCCGTAATGCATCCAGTACAAAGCCGTCTCAATATGTTGATCAGTTGAGGACCTGACTACAGCAAGATCTTTCCGGGTCTGAAACCTGCCTGTTCTGGAATCAGATTAAGGTCAACCAAAGGAGTTAGCCTGGTCAACAATAACCTCTCAAACAGCTTGTAAGTATGGCAGAGAAGTGAAATCGGATGACAACTTTTGGAGTCATCTAGACGCTGGCCTGGCTTTGGTATCGCCACGATTTTAGATTTCCGCCATAAGCGTGGGAACTTTGCTGTGCTGAGACAGGAGTTGAACATTGCAAGTAACCATGAGACGGCAATGGGTCCAAGGTGCTTAAGCTGTTCCACGGAGATATTGTCAGCTCCGGGGGCTTTGCCGGGTTTCAAGTCTTTGAAAGCAGTGCTTACATCACTCAGAGTAAAAGGAGAACATAAAGAGCCGGAGACAGAAACTGGGTGTGATTCCTTTAGGGGGTTTCTGAGACGACACGAGGGTTTCCCGTTTAGGACTAATGCATGGGCAACTTGATCAGCAGTAACTTGATTTGGTGGGGCAACAGGAGGAGATTCACTGGTGAGTTTCCGAATTGTGGACCAAGCTTTTTTACTGTTATGAGTCATGTTGATATTAGTAACAGTATCAATCCACCTGTTGCGCCGACTTTCATCAATCTCGTAAAGAAGCTTTTCTCCCATGGCAAGAGTTTCCTCAGAGAACGGGTCGCTGCTGTATAGATCCTCATACTGACCCAGAGTTTTTGCAGATTCACGTGATAGCCCTGGGATATAAGACGTGCGGCACCCTCTGGGAATGAATTTGCGCGACGTTCTTAAGAGTACTTCGGCGAAGAGATCATAATTATGTGGGAGAGGTGGTATATCCAAAAGCGCATCGTCAATAACTTTAGAATAGGGTACCCAATTCGCTCTACTGTAGTTAAATCGGCGCTGGAAAGGCACCTTAATCGGGCGAACTACAGAGTTAACGGTGCACATAATTGGTCTATGCTGGGTGTGAGGAATTGGTGAACAGACAGATTTTGAACAGTAAGATATAATGTTACTACTAACGAAGACCAAATCTGGGTTAAACCCATGTTTCCAGCGTCACTGTTAAACGATGCAGGATCTTTTGGGTTATGGATCAACATTAGGTTGTTTGTCTCTGCCCATGCTTCCACAGCGTGACCGTTCGCGTCAGTATCCCTATAACCCCAATTCGAACTGTGACTATTAAAGTCACCAATGATCAAGTTCGCGGCTTGAATGCTAAGATCGGTAGGAGCATCGAAGTGAAATGGAACGCCAGGGGGTTTGTAAACAGATGAAATAGTGCAGCACTAGTGACTACAGAGATAATTTCCACGGAGTTAGTGGAAGAAAAATGTACGGAATTTATGCTTACGCCAGAGCAGCAAACACTGCGTTACCGTGTTTTGGATCGGGGATCTCGGCGATAAGCGTCAGCCCATGGATGTAGGGCCGGCTTTGGTTCCCATCACGGTGGGTCTCTTGCACACAAAGTATATCACATTGTGTGGACTGGCATAATTTAGAAAGAATTTCCGCCTTATCCTGTGAGAACCCTTCAATATTTATTGAAATGACACACAAAGCCGGCTCCGAGAGGGGGCCTAATGCGCTGGAACCTCGTCTAAATAACACCCGCGTGACGTCATGTGTAAATAGAAAGAATAGATAGTACAAAAGGCAACAGATAAATTATTTATGAATTGTTGAAATATTTATGAACACTCCCTAAAGTATAGTTAAAATTATTTAATAACTTTTAATTTATCGCATGATATTTGGAAAATAATCAATTATATGTAAATATTGACGTATATGGAAAATGAATAAAATTAAGTAAAAAAATAACTTTTACTTTGTAATAACGCGATAACAAACGGTAAAGACATTTTTTTAAACATAACCAAAGGTAATAAGTCAATGAAAGATATTAAACATATATTTATTATAAGTGAAATTATGTTTAATTATTGTGGAAATCAGAGGTATTTTTTTTTCTTTATTTGTAGGGGGTAATCTTTGAATATACTGATTCGACAACGAAAATTCTTTCATCCACTGGTAGCATAGGACATAGGCTTTAATATACGCGAGTTAAAAGTCGCGAGAAATCAGCTAGTTCAAAACTAAGATATACTAAGCAATTGGACCAGTCTTACCTCAGCGTGACAATCGTTCACGGCTCGCCCTCTCACGGACATGTGTTCGCCGGAGACACATTTCGTGCCGGTTGTGACAGCAATTACCTGATAATTATAAATAATTATATATTTTTCATCCCCCATCTCGGAAAGACTATTTTTTCTCTTCGATATCTGAGCGCAAAAGCCGATTTTACTTATTAACTTCTATCTCCATGGTACTGAATCTATAATACAACCTTATTTATTTATTTTTTAAACTCAAGACTCCTAACCTTCTTGGAGTACTTTACCTTAATTTGCTTTGCGCGTAACATTTTCTTTTCGCGTCTTATTGTTACAATCTTAGATTAAAAGAGTGATGCTAGCTACGAAGAAGTTTATTTGACGGTAACAGAATTGATCGAAACTATAATGTACGAGTAGTACTTATACCAAAACTGAAATAAAAGTTTATACACATCTTGTGATTGTAAATGTTTTCTTTGCATTAAATATTTCCTTGCTGAGGTGGGATGAAATGTTTCAAAGATTTTTCACCTCGTGCTCTATTGATTCCCTCGCCAACGTTCAGGATTCAAATTTTGAGAACGCGGTTAAAAAGCAACTTTGCAATCTCGTATAAGAAATAACTATTATGTATCATGTATTGGAGAAAAGGTCTTTTTTAGGAAGAATCTTTTCAAGGCAGGCGACAAGTCTGATCCCAGTAATTTCAGACTAATTTCTATACTACCAGCGTTAAGTAAAGTATTTAAGAAAATGATTTACAATCAACTGCTTGCACACTTTTCATTAAATAAATTACTTCACCAAAATCAGTTTGGCTTTAGCAGAGTTAAATGTACCACAGACGCTGGAATTGCACTTCTGAGGCATATCTATGATGCTTGGAAGAATAAACAAGATGCTATTGGCATTTTTTGTGATGTATCAAAAGCATTCGACTGCGTTAGTCATGAAACACTGTTGGGAAAATCAGAGCATTATGGTGTGACGAAAAATTCACTTCATCTAATAAGATCATATCTTTCTGCTAGAATTCAAAAAGTAGTAATCAATGAATCGAAATCTGCAGTGGCACCAGTTACTATGGGCGTACCTCGATCGATGATCGATATTAGAACCATTGCTTTTTCTAATTTATATTAATGATCTTCCTCACTTTACGAAAGATTTGTGCGAGACAGTATTATTTGCAGATGACACCTCTTTACTGTTTAAAGTTGAGAGGGCTAATGATTGTTTTGACGATGTAAATGATGCTCTCGACAATGTTCTACAGTGGTTTGATAATAATAATTTAAAGCTCAATTCAAATAAAACGAAATGCATAAAGTTTGCATTACCTAATGTGAGGCATGTCAGTACACTTATAAATGTAAATAGTGAAAAAGTTGAGTTAGTAGAATCGACAAAGTTCCTTGGTATTACACTAGATTCCCGACTGCAATGGGATCCTCATATTGATAGCTTGTCAAGTAGACTGAGTTCTGCAGCTTTTGCTGTTAAGAAAATTAGACTCTTGACAAATGTTGAAACGGCAAAATTGGTATATTTTAGTTATTTCCATAGTGTAATGACGTATGGTATATTGTTATGGGGTTCTGCGGCTAGCATTCAGGATATTTTTATTTTACAAAAGAGAGCTGTCCGTGCTATATATAATTTACGGTCTAGGGAATCTCTTAGTGAAATATTTAAAGAAATAAATATTCTGACTGTTGCCTCTCAATACATCTATGAGAATATTATGTACACAAGAAAACATTACGATTCCTTCACAAAAAAAAGTAGTGTTCATAATCTTAACACAAGAAATAAAGATAAACTTGCCGTTCCAAGCTTCAGACTTCAAAAAACCAGAGGATCATTTCTGGGTAAATGTATTGCTATGTTCAATAAAGTTCCACAAAATGTAATTGACCTACCCATAAATAAATTTCAAATTCATGTAAAGAATATACTTATGAGTAAAGGCTATTATAAAGTTGATGATTATTTTAAGGATCGCAATGCATGGAATTAATAGCCTTCGCTTTGTTCTATAAAGACTAATTATATGTTCAACCTATGTCCTACAGACTTTGAAAGTTGTATTTACTATTGTGATAATACATATTATTTTGGTAATGACATGATTTATGTAAATGTCATTTCATAACTTATGATAAAAAGCTGGTAAGTTTCTTTCGCTTGTTCTTCTTGTCAGCTAAAAGACGTCCTGAACAAGTGGTAGGGGAAAAAAGTTTTTTGGACGATTCAAAAGTGCTTGTAATAGCCTACTTGAATGAAGATATTTTACATTAATCACTGTCAATAACCCTACTGCTATGTTGGAGTCGTTTCATTTAGATATTCTATGAAAATTATTTACCTTGGCACCTTCGATGCGATGATTGGTGGTGATAACTATGCCAGCTAGTACTTTTCTCTTCGAGTGAACTAGATCACCTTTCATCACGTCATTAAATTTCTCATTGACCAGCCTAATGAAAGGACAGCAAACTTTGAAATTAAAACTATTAATGTATAGTTTAATACTTACAGATTTAATATTTCTAATAAAATGCGGCGACTTTTCAAACATTTCAAAACAGTTTAATATTCAGTACAAAACAAATAAAATATAATTAATGAAAAGTTATTGTATATTTTTATCGGTAGATTAGCCTACGTACTATGCGAGTCAAATAAGATCATGTTAGGTGCCAACTCCACGGCTTAGATGTCATTTTAGTACCGACAGCAAAGAAAATAAAGTTCGCTAGATATTTTTTGATTTCATTTAAACGAATTATAAATAAAGTTATAATGTATTTTATTATTGAATTTATTATTAGTGTTGGCACGACTTTATCAAGAATCAATAAAATATATTTTTTAAATGGGCCTCTTGCTTTTTTGTACATATGATGTATACGATTTTTGCCACAAAGTTAACGCTGGCCACCATAAACGTTATCATTTTATGAAATCGGGGTTCAATTGCAGATGTCAGTATATCATAACCCGAAATACAACGATTTATAAAAACAAATATTTTTTGCACACTATACACTCTGAAGTTAAAGCACAAGAACCAACAAGCTGTGCGATAGTACTATTCTTATTTGGCTCACATAGTATTCATAGCAGCATTCATTTAGTTGTTAAAGTAATAGTAATATAAACACTAACTTGCCAATGTGATCAGCTAGTGTTTGTGACAGTAGCCCAGCGTGGAACGCTTGTATGAGAGCGGGTGTCTCTACTCGTCCTTCCTCTAGTACAGCGAGTGCTGAACGTGCCGCTGCTAACTTAGCTAGCTTCTTACTAGACCCTACATATTATATAATACAATTTACAGTAATGTCACTAGCAAGCCACAGAGCTACCATTTCAATAAACACCATCAGCATAATGAGTTCTACCGTTTTTTTGCTCACCAGATGGCGCGACAGGCGCTAGAGGTCCCGTCAAAAATTACAACGTGTGAACTTAAATAATTCATCCCTCCCAGCACCCCTATTAATGCTGGGGCTCAGGCCTTCTTATGAATTGATTCGAATTAAATCGAATAGGGAGAATGGGCCATGACACACCACGCGGGGCCAGTGCGGATTGGTGGGTATTATAACAACTGCAGATGCAACCGGGACCAACCGCTTAACGTGCCTTCCGAAGCACGATGAATATAAAGATAATAAATTTTTGGTCAGCCATCCTATGACCGGCCCTTGTGAAAGTTGCTTAACATCCTTATCGCTAACCACTGCGCCATCGCGCTTCACAATCATGTATAAATAAACCAATTCATTAATAATATAAGAGCATGCCCAATAAACACTAACCTCGAAAATAACTGTTCTTTCAATCCTTTTAATTAAACACCTGGTTTTCTTAGCTCAGTTTTTCAAGTCCTCAAATGCTTAATTAACCTCAGGTATGCCAAAATGAGCATAACAATCGTTTAATTAAAAAGAAGCGACGTATTTGACATTCGCAGACCTTTCTCTACACTAGCGCCTCTAGTGGCAAATTCAAACACGTTAGCACTCATCTGCTCAAGAAAAAGCCAGCTAAAGCCGATGGAATTACGAGTACAAACACTAATGAACTGCATACATACACGCACGCACGTACGCACGCACGCACGTATCCATAAATCAAAGAGCTAATGAACACACATACATATAAAATATGAGGTGTCTTTTATATATTTTTAAAATAAAAAAATATATGTAATATAGTGATAATGAATGTATGTCAACATAGATAATTGAAATATTATTATGGTTATAAATATAGACCTCACGCCTAACGTTAAAGTATTGAATCCACTAAAACTATATCCCACTCTTGATACAATTCCCGAAATAAAAGAAACCATATGTAAGACCATTAAAATAACAAAAAATAGTAATTAAGTTAATAAACTTACCATATCCTTCAAACTTCTGTTCCTTTATTTGACACACCACTTTGAATCTCATACTGTGACTCAACTGCAATGGAGCTGAAATAAAACAATATATTAACTAACTTTTAGCTCTAGTTATAAAAATGTGCCTTAACATAAAGTACACAAGGTTAGTTTTTAAGACATGACATTAAGGATAGGTGCCTTGATCATTACATTACATGAAAACGTTTCCTCAGGGACGATACATAATACATAATTTTTAAAGATATTCTCACTATATTCACAGGGTTTGGAAAAATGTACAGTTCGCAAAAAAATACTAAAATCAGATGGGATTAAAAGACTTTAGGATCATTTAGAGTATAAGTACTAGAATTGTACTGTTGTAGTAATTTGATTTTAATTGTAGTAATTTTCATGTATTTACTTATAACAGAATAAATTAATAAAAATAAAATCATTTTCGATAGTTAAGATATTAAAAGTAATACGACGGACATGTGATAGACTTATTGATTAATTTATAAAATTCAATTTAATTTAAAAGTACCTTGGATAACAATATTTTCGCTTTTATTACTAAAACAATAAGGAATATGCCAAGGAAACTCTTTCCGAAACAGTTTATGCAAACATTTTAAAGTTCCTAGCGACATCGAGTTTACTTTCGAGAACTATTTTTTGTAAATACTTTCTCATTACGATATATATCATTTTTCGCAAGTGATGTAATTAAAATTACAGTGTTAATAATTATAATGTACAAACCTTGTGTAGCATCTAGTGGCGACCCATCCCCAAAAGTGCAATTGAAACTGAGCCCTGGATAGTTCTCGTATAACACGTTTATAGGACTCTTCAGCACCGTAGCAGCGTTCGAAGCACCAAATAACACTGTAGCGGGGCACGTTACTGACGGAGGAGGGGTAGTAGCTGGAAATGAAACAATGATTAAAACAGCGGTTCCCAAACTTTCCTTTCTCATAGATCATTTTCAAAAACCGATTTTGAAATGAATCACTATCTAGCAGAAGGGTCCATCTACTACATTATGATTTGTTTACACTTCCTACATTACTTATCAATATTTTACAATAATTTCACATACATCATAATTTATTTAATTAGTACACTAACAATTGTCAAGTTAATATAATTCAATAAATTAACTTAAATTTGCTAAATGTACAATCATTTACAGGGATATATTACTGCAAAAACTGAAATAAATATTTACTTAGTATACAGTTCACTACAATCTCAGTCCATGAAAAACAACAGTTACAAATAAACAACGATTAAAAAACAATGAAAATAATATGATAGACTGAGAAGTTGAGAGTTGAACAAGTATTAAGGCACTAATCGCTCCAATTCAGCTTTAAATTTAAATTAGAGACATCACATTTACATAAAGGGAATCACTATATTTGTTAAATAATGTACCAATTCTCGACACTGGTGTATTTGCACCCAAAACCGTTCGGCGAAACGGACGCATAATTGGTTTGATTGGCTTGCGTGGTGTATGGTACGTTACCCTGAACTATAATAATACCTTGTATAACGAATTAACATGACACCTGAAGGCCTATTCTATTTGTCCTCGAATGAGTATTCGGACAATTTCAAATCGTTCTTATAATTATGTTAAAATCATATTTATTCAGATGATCTGAGCAACATAAGGTAGTGCTCAGATTCTACCTCCCTTGCATCAGAAAAAAAATCCTTTCTTAAGAGTCGTATTGGCATTTGGAAAATAAACAAAATTTTGTTTTTGGTGAAATAGAAAATGCCTTCAGGTGTCATTTTAATTCAGCCGAGTAGTTAAAGAAATACTACACATGATAATTCATCAGTAATAAGAGAAGTGTAGCTCGATGGCGTAGCGGATAAGCGCCACAGCCTGCGATAATTATTGTTGAGCAACTTTCGTAAGGGTTCAGATACGAGATGGGTGACCAAACAATTTTTATCTCGAGCTACTCCGTGCTTCGGAAGGCACGTTATGCTATTGGTCCCGGCTGCATTTGCAGTTGTTAATACTGTTATGACCCGTCCTCCTTAACCATAGATAAGGAATACCTCTACAGTGAGAACGTAAAAGGGCTGATGGTGATAATGATGAGAGAAGCCATATTTATATGAACAATATTCTTATTCTTACTCGGGCTAGCTTCCTTTGCGGTTACTGTGATGGTAGGAGAAGATCGCATCTTAGTCTCCAGGCACTGGAATTCTGATACTGTAACAAACGTTCAAATATAAAATACATAATTGTACCTAAACTTTAAGTCAATCTATGAATCATAGAATCCGCAGGTTACCATCCGTCCCAATTTATCTGGGAAGCATGAAAATGCTAGTACAATTCCCAGATAAATGTTAATAAATAGGGAGGAACCCCTGGACCAGTGTTTATTAATCTCTTGTCAACAATAGGGATGACGACAAAGGACCCCGCCCTTGCCTTATGGAAATTGGCTTTCTGTCAAATCGGATGAAACTATGATGAATGGATAGAGGAAGTCTTCCTGAGTAAAAGTCCTCATGGGCACTAAGCCCGAAAATCGAAACTTTTAGTACTTTTGGGCATTCGAAGTTTTTGATTTTGGATTCTAGCAAAATCAATAAATCCTTGTAGAATCGGCCCAAAGTTCAATTAGACATAAAAGAAAAAATACGTATCGAATATTTTTTCAAGACCTTTCGAACGACACCCTATTTGACCCCCCCCCCCACTCCCCCACCTACGGGGGTGGAAGGGGAGCGGTTTTTTGCGAAAAAGTTCTTTTATAATGTTATAATGGCCTCATGATTGACGGAACACTTGAGCCGTGCCCGATCGACCCCCCCCCCCTCACCCACCCACCACACGCGGGGGCGGAGGAAGAGAAGAGATAAAAGAACTTTTTCGCAAAAAACCGCTCCCCTTCCACCCCCGTAGGTGGGGGAGTGGGGGGGGGGGGTCAAATAGGGTGTCGTTCGAAAGGTCTTGAAAAAATATTCGATACGTATTTTTTCTTTTATGTCTAATTGAACTTTGGGCCGATTCTACAAGGATTTATTGATTTTGCTAGAATCCAAAATCAAAAACTTCGAATGCCCAAAAGTACTAAAAGTTTCGATTTTCGGGCTTAGTGCGCATGAGGACTTTTACTCAGGAAGACTTCCTCTATCCATTCATCATAGTTTCATCCGATTTGACAGAAAGCCAATTTCCATAAGGCAAGGGCGGGGTCCTTTTTTTTGTTTGTCCGTCAGGTAGAGTGTTAAAAAATATTAAACACGTATTTGTTCGTAATCATAAAATAACGGCGTAACATGGGGTTGAAATTTCGCGTGACGTTTTCTACTAAACTGTGACGTAACGAGCCCCCACTCCTCAACTATAATGCCTGTTATCTAAGCTATTTCTTGTTAAATTGAAGTAAAAAAAATATGTTTCTAATATCTTTCTATTATCTGACTGACGGACTAAATAGAATTGCACTTTTTTTACCCAGTCGTCATCCCTATTGCATTGGAATGCCTCGCGGGAACATTTAAAACGGGTTTTTGATTAAATTAGACCGACTTAAGATGAGCATTATTTCTCAGTTTTTAAGTTTGAAGTCAGTTCTATATTTCTTTTATTTATTAAACTTTATTGAATAATGATACATAATTATTTATTGGTAAATGGCAAAATGGCACATGCGGATTATTAGGTTTATAATACAAACAAAGTTACCAATCTGATTTCGATAAAATTGATATTGAGCCTCCTCAGGCCCATAAGCTGTCCAATAATCTGTAAAAAGAACCTCCGCTGTCGTCGTCGTATTCAAAAGAATACTCACCCGGGAACTTGGCGGGTTCGTCGCTAGTGAAGTCCTGGTGTGGAATAGGTGCGGGTAGCACGCGACCGGCTCGCGCTAACAACGCAGCGAGACATGCCCGCGCCGCGGACGCGCGGGCCTCGCGCTTACTGTGACCCAACCCTTCAAACGTCATGTCTGCCACCTAACGAAGACCTCCATTTAGTGTTACCGTTCAATAGACCACTACAGCACGTTCACCGAACAGATTTTCGTACAATGAATATATCTTATTCACCCGTGAGCAAACAATACGGGTGTAGAAGACAGTAAACGAAAATAAGTATTTTTTTTTCTGCTAAGTGTTTAATATGCTATTACTGATAGTCACATTTTCATACTTATTATGATTACAATATTGTTCAAATGAATTATGAATAATGAACAGGACCGCACAGAGAGCGTGAGGTCACGACCCTCTTACTCAAATCAGTTATAGAATTCAAGCTTTTGCATTCATAGAACTTTGGAATATTGGAATATTAAATTCATTTCTTCTTCTTCTTTTTAAATATTGGCGTTTCCCTTTTGGATTTCGCCAGAATCCAGTGTATTATCATTTATACCCTCCAATCAGCATAGGGCCAGTGGCATGCAAACATGCAAATAAACACTGCATACCTACTACTGCATACATACTACCCATAAAACCCAATTAAATACCTATTACCTAACTAATATATGATACATTAGCTCGATACGCGTATGTACAGAGACTGTATGGATCAAGTAAAAGTGCCACATTATAACAAAAATGAACTACTATAACGTTTTAGTTAGCGGAATATTTCCAACCGACTGCTACGATGGCGCCACCGTTTACAGCTTATTCGCCATACAAACACGACAGGTCAAAATTCGTGTTGTACGCAGAAAATATTTGTATGCGTGTGTAAAATTCATGAATGTGTTACGGTTTTGAGAGGCTGCGTATTGCAACGTGATTAAGTTAAAAAGTCATCAAAAGAATAGCGTTAGCGTTTACTTTGGCTATTTCATTTGACCGGTGTATCATTTAAACATTTTTTTTCGCCATTTTTATTACGTTTCTAAGCGCCAGTGATTAAGTTTTAATTCATTAATCAATCTAATATTTAACGTGAATTATGGAAAATTATAACTGTGAGCTGCTCCTTCTGCTCTGTGATGATGATAAATTAAATACGAATGCATTTTCTTTGTCCTTTGAAGAAAAATAAAAATAAAAACAAATTCTAAATACACAGTAATATATTTACCGTGAATTATGGAAAATTATAACCGTGAGCTGCACCTTCTGCTCTGTGATGATGATATATGATAATCCCACATCACCCGTGAAGCCCGCGCTGGGTGTAGCGGGTATGCGTAACGTATATCTCAGCGTCAAAAATAAAAAAGATGTGTGCCAGAGTTAGATTTAACTAAAACAAAGGTAATATCACTCGTCCTTTTTACTCGGCTAGCATTCAAAATTTACATACGTATAATTTAAAAACCATATTTCTTGATTTTTACAAATTAGCAAAATTAATAATTACGGTAGGTACCAGTGAGTAGCGCGTCAATTGAACGTTAAATTTTCTTGCTTAAAACTAACTTTTTAAACAATCTTCGTTATTTTTACTACGATATTTTACTCACAGGCACGTTGATTTGATTTATAAAAATTATGAGATTATTAAAATTCATAGGAAATGTATTGTCGATCGCTGACTGTTTATGTGAACAATATCCAAAATAATAGGTATTAACAGTTTCGATGGTGACCAACAAACATCAAATGATCATGATCCTGGCTGGGCAAGGTCATGTGGTCAAACTTATTAGAAGATACTGAAACTATGCTGATGATTGATAAGTATATGCTGCATAACCTACTGCAATTTTCTCTGCACGAATCTGCATAGGGCCAGCGTGGAGGGTCATGGCGCATACTCCTTAACCATCCATAAAGTAAGCCTGATCCCTGCAGTGAGGACGGAAAACGGCTAATGATGATAACTTTATCGTCTGCCACTGACGCTACTTTGAGACTTCCCCGAATTAAACTTTTACTATTATAATAAGACTAGCTACACTTCGCCTGCGTAAATTGTCACCCGCGTATATGGGTGAATCAACTTTTAAGACACTCCTTTCGTGTCCGCGCTCTAGAAAAATCATATTGAATAAAACTCACTTATAAACTTCTTTTTTTCTATATTAACCTAAAATTAGATGCATTTAGTAACATGAGAACAAAGACTTTTTAATTTTAACAATTTTAAACGTTTCAAGCTACAGTATCGCAGGAGAACATTTTAACTCTCCATACAAAAACTCTGTGTCACCAGGCATAGTCGATCAAGCAAATCAAGTCACATCTTAAAAAATATATATCAAGCTACCCAATTATTTCGACATATTTAAAATCTACATTAAATAAGCATTTATCTTCAGTACAACATTTTATTAATTGTATTTAAACAATATTTAATAATTATTTATTAGGATTTGTCGCCAATAATGTCTCAAAACTTAGTTCTCCCGAGTGACTTCTTTAGTTTTGAAATAATCGCGCGGAGAGTACTTATTTGGCGTCGCTAGCGCTGCCTTTTGTCTAATTTCACGTCGATGTTGACCGTTATTTTCTTTCGACGTTTCTCCCCCCGCCAGTGTTCGTTGCGTTCCCAAGTAGTGCGTGTGGGTTTATTGTTGCTCCGCACTGTTACCCCGGACATCGTGGTAAGTTTGTGGAATATTTTACTATTATTATAATAAAATTTTAACCATAACGTCTGATTTGAAGGCAAAGTTAAAATAATGGTTCAATTTGCAACGTAGAATTACTTATTTGTATTTTTACCATGAATTTTCTACTGCGTTACTGGTAACGCAGCAGAATTGTCTCTTGCGATACCAGTAACGCCAGAGACAATGTGAGTAGTCTGACATAAATAGTTAATGCATTTATATTAAATAAAGCACTTTAACTTGCAACAACGCGTGTACAATTAGTTCCAGTATTGCTTAAGTGGTCATTTCGTGACCATGGCTCCCGTAAAGTCGGAAACGTCGGGAAATCAAAATATATAAATCCAAACCTTTTTTTAATAACCATTATTAATAAAATGCATACGCCTTATAATCATAAAAGACTATAAGTGGGATATATTTACACTCATAGTTGGATATCTCGGACTGCCAAAGTATTTAATAATATTGTTTACTTTGTCTTAGGTTTGGACTTTCGACTACACAAAAGTAAAATGCCGCTTAGTGCGGCAGAGAAACAAAAGCGTTATAGAGAAAGGCTTAAAACTGATAGAGAAAAATACGAAAAAGCTAAGCAAAAGCAAAGGGAAAGATATCATAAAACTAAAAGATTGGTCAAAGTTTTAACACCAAAAGAACGGTATAATGCAAACGTGATATGGAAACTAAGGAAAAGGCAGTTGAAGGCACGAAAGAAAGCTGCAGAAGGTTTATTACAACAGACACCTCCAGATTCGCCTACATTCGATTAAAAATGTACAAGATGGAACTCCGCCACCATCGCCATCGTCCCGAGATCGATCCTCACGAATTACGCCGCCACCCTGTTTTAGACCTTTACCAGGTCTTCGAAATACAGTACGCTGTTCTCCACGGTTAACACCACGATCTGGCAAGGAAAGCCCACGAAATGCACCTGTGACAAATATCACTCCTACAACTACACCGGTCGCTTCGCCTCAAGCCACTCCACCGCTAACGCCAAGAATACGTTCGTGTGACTCTTCACCATCTGGGACCCCAAAAAATAGACGCAAAAATAAAGTTAAAAGGGACAGGGCACGCGTACATAGAGAAAACCAAATACTTAAGCAAAATATTAAAAAGTTGAAACAAAAATATGACAAGTACAAAAAAAGGTTTGAAAGAGAAAAGAAAAAGAAGGCTCTTGACACTGAGAAAAATGAAGACTTACGGTACAAGGTCCTGAGTGGAGCTATTAAGAAGACATTTAAACAAACAAAATCGAGGAAAGAACGAGAGGTGATTAAGAAAATTTTTTCAACTGTGGAAGTCATAGACTCACGAATGAAGAAAAAGATGCTTATGAATAATTTAGGAATTGACAAAATAGTAAAAAGGAAATTCTGCATTGAGAATGAAATTGTGTTAAAGAGACGAATTAAAGATTTTTATTTGAGAGATGATGTTTCACGAGCTACAGCCGGCAAAAAAGAAACTGTCACAAAAGCACAGGTGAAGGTTCAAAAAAGATTTATGTTGGATTCTATGAAAAATTTATATAAAGCATTTATTAAAGAGAACCCTGACCTTCGTTGTTCATATTTTTATTTTACAAGAAATAAGCCATTTTATGTGGTTAGTGCTTCTGTTGATGGTCGAAATACGTGTCTATGCAAGATACACACAAACTTTGCATACAAAGCTAATGTTTTGAAAAAAAAAAGGTATAACAGGTACTGACAACTTAAATATTCTTATTGAGTCGACTGTTTGTAATGTGAAGTCAAAAAATTGTATGTATGGTATATGTGATCTATGTGCTAATAAAAAATATGAATATTTCCGAAAGAATATAAGCGGTACTATCACATGGCCAGAATGGATAAGAAAAGAAGATAGTTACAAGAAAGACGAAAAATTATTAAAAACTATAAAAAATGTTAAAGAATATAAAAATGAGGAGGCTGAAGCATTTGTCAAAATATTCGAGAATGATCTAAAGGCGTTTAAAATACATGTATTTAATATTAAGACACAATTTCAAAGTTTCCGCCACTGTCTTGATAATATACGTCCATATGAATGCATTTTGGTCGCCGATTTCAGTGAAAATTACAACTGCAAACATAGCCAAGAAGTACAATCCCACCATTTTGGAGGGTCGCGTAAACAAATTTCTCTTCATACTGTTGTAGTGTATACATTTAACAAAAACTCTGCAAAAGGTTATGAAGTTAATTCATTTTGTACTATTTCCGAATCCAACAACCATCAGCCTGCAGCGATTTGGTGCCACTTAGATCCAATTTTGAAAAGTATAAGGTCTAATTTTGCAGATATCAACACAGTCCATTTCTACTCGGATGGCCCAAGCACCCAATACCGGCAAAAGCAAAATTTTTATTTAATGTGTACAAGGTTTTTTGATTACGGGTTTGTTAATATGACATGGTCATTTTTTGAAGCTGGCCACGGAAAAGGGCCAGCTGATGGAATAGGAGGATTTCTCAAAAGAACGGCGGACAAAATCGTAGCTAATGGTAAAGACATTGCTAATGTTTGGCAATTCTATGAGGAGATGAAAAATGTTAGTAAAATAATATTATATGTAATTGACTCCAATGATATCGAGAACCAACATAAAGCCCTACCTAAAAGTATTCCACGACTTGTAGGAACGCTAAAAGTACATCAGGTTTTCTCAAACTGTTATGGGAAGCTAGAATACAGGGACCTAACCGTTTTTGTGAGAGTGAGAGCCTAAGACCAAGAGGATTCTGTTCGTGCCTTAACCCAAAACTTTATGACCTTGCAGTTCTTTTTGATGCAAATAAGAATGAACTTCTCCCAGACCTGACTAATGA